CACAGCACTTAGGCCACATGTGACCCATTGTACATCCTCCCGGAGAGTTGTCCTCCTAGGTCATCGTCCATCCTGTCCTTTCCAGGAAGGTGGGCAGGTCACTAGGAGACATCTCCTCTTTATTGGCAGGTGTAGGCCAAGACTGGCCGAACACACACACTCTCTTTGGCAACCTTGAGGTGTGTCACGGTGGCCTCCGTGAAGGTTTTGGAAGGTGCAACGACATCACTGTCGTTGCGCGGCTTCTTCAACATTCTTGGGGTTCCCTCCGCGGAGGTGTACAAGTGAGGCAGCTTTCCTGCTGGGGCAGCCGGTTCCTTGCCTTCAAGACGGAGCTCTTGGCGCCCTTGTTGGAGACGAAGTGGGGAAGGAGGAGGGTGCACTTATAGTTGCTGCTACTCTTGCCTCCTTCGCTCTCTTTCTCCTTTTGGCCTCGGCGCCGCAAATGTGCTTACGCCTTGGCCTTTGTATTACTTCACGAGGTGATCTGCTTTGTCCAGCTTCATTCCAAACGGTGGATTGAGATGAGCACTTCTGTCCAGCCTCGGGATTGGTTTTTGTTGTTTCTGTTTTTGTGTTCTTTTCATTCATGTGTGTTCCCACGAGTAGCAAGGGGTTGGTCACCTCTGGCAGAGCCCCGCATTACCAGAGGTAGGCTGATTACAATGAGGTTTCGCCCGGTTCCCCAAGGGGATCGTTCGTGACCGCATATCACCCTGCGGCCATTCAGCTGTCGGCACGATTCCTTACACCTTAGCTTGGGTAGGCTGGTCCACTGTGCAAAAGCTTTTGGGGAGTTTTAGTTCCCCTCTTATTTCTACCACTGACCAGGAGCCCGGCAACCCCGTCAACATTGGCTTCCCGAACAGGGCCTCCAGTCACCTGGCCGTTCCCCTATCCGCCACCTGTGGACGCGCCCAAGGTAGCCCAGTCCACGGGAAATTGAAATTGACCTCTTGTTTTATGAGAAAACGGTTGAGGCTTTCTCAGCTGAGGTTTTCAGTGTAACTATTTTCCAGGTTTGAACGAGTGAGTTTTTAGAATTCCATCCTGGCGTTTTGCTCAAACTGCTGATGACAAACCTGTGCTGCGAAAAGTGAATTTTCTTTAAGTTCCAGGTGAGGAATATTCTTCATTTCTGCTGATTCTCCTACAGACTGTGGTTTCTGGGAAACTGGTTTCTCATTCAGAACTAGTGTTTTCAGTGACATCTGAACGTATATTAAGAAAATATTCATAAAGTATGACGGGGAAGATTTCTGTAATCTACCAGATGGAAAAATATTACAGAAACCAGTGTTCTACAGGAGACATCTAGTGAGCAGAAGTCGACCTTCTAAAATTCCTCAGTGTAGGTTTCTCCCAGATGCTGTATGGGCACCATTTTTTTCACTGGCAATCGTCATCAACTTTTTAGACTCCATTATCTCAGTGGCAATTGTTCTTGTTCATCAATAAGTGTTAGAGAAATAACCTTAACCTTACCAATTTTCGAGTCTAGTTAGAAGTCTGTTTCGAGGTCTGTTTTGAGGTTTAATAACAAACAATGAAGCATATATTCGTTCAACAATGAAACAAAACTCGGTGTCAAAATCTTGCACAACGTCCAAGTGGAAGTTAGGCACTAATTGCTTCCCAGTCAAAACTTTTCTGAATCGTTCTGGTCAGAGTCCGAAGGTATTATTTCGAGATAACATTTTCATCACTGACGCAACAGAATGATCCAATATCAAGAACAGTGCCATATCAAATTCATTTGCGAAAGATTCTGTATCTCACCATAGAAACCAGTTTGATCTTCCTCTTGAAGATGATCACTTGGTGATCGAAACACGTGTCGAGGTGTTAAAATAACGGTTTGGTGCTGGGAAAAATCTCCAGTAATATTCATTAGTACACCAAAGGTTCCAAACAGTGCATGAAAAGAATAGAAATATGATTTTCAAAAAAACCCCTTTCTACTGTACGATCCACAATGCCGGATATTACCTACTTTTGTTCAGCGTCTCGTTAAATGAATTTTGTAACAGCGCAATATCAACGAAGTCTTTGACTGTCCATGATAATAATTATCGAATTTACACAATGAATTTCATTGAACAGGCGTTTCGCTGCATGGTAGCTTCATCAGTTACTGGTACAACCAATTGTTCTTGGTACATTTACCATATACGCTGGCATTACATGGTTCCAAACTCATTTTACTTGGAAAATCAAGAAATATTGCTTTATTGTCAACTTTACACTCGTTTTCTATTTCCATCTAAATTATATTTAATAAAACAGGAGTTTGTGGTCGCTGCGTCTACAAAATCATCAGATAACATACCACTAACCAAAAACCAACCAAAATCGTAAAAAATTGTAGATTTGGTGGATGACTTCTATAGAAATGCAATCAGAAGAATGGTGTATCAATATTTTCTTAGCAACGTCTCTATTTTGCTTGAAGACGTAAATGACGCTCCGAACTTGCCAAGTTTCAAACGTAGTGAAAAATAGATAATTGTTATAACACTTCCAAAATACAAATCATGAAATTATAAAACAACAACAAAAATTAATTAGCGCTCCGGGGCGATTTCAATGATTCCAGTAGGGCATTTGCTTTTTCAGCTGCAGGAAAACCCGGAAAAACTTGCAGCACCACATCATCTGAAGATCTTGATCTTCCAATGTTCTCTCTCTCTCATAAAGCAAAATATAGGGTGTCTCCAGAGGCTCCAATAAATTCAATACATCGCCAGAACAATTAGTGTCACGACTATCGTCAAACTTAAACCAGTCCGTTTCGTCTTTGACTAAGGCGTAATAATGATCAGATTCAACGCCAGAACCACAGTGAATAAGGACTGCATGAAGATTATAATAGTGGTCTGCTATATTGAAGTGTTCATCTATTTCGAACCTTCGTAAGAGTTTGGTGCTTCCGTCAAAGGTTGAGTCATGTTTGAAGATCATCAGTGTTATTATTAAATTGACTGGTGCCTCAGATATACTTGTTGTCTTATAACAGTCAGTTAGTTTGGCGCATGTTTGGCAATACAGTCGATCATCACCTGTTAAAAGTTCAATTTTCAGATCTAGTAGACTTCAAAGACTCCAGGAAATCGGTTGGAGGAAAAGATGATACATTCTTACGAAACTGAAGCTGCATGAACAGGTGTTTGAGTTTGGTGGATAAGTATAAAACATTCTCGTTCTCGTTCATCATTAAAACCTCGTTCTTTAAATTCTTCGCCATGAAAAACACTTGTAAAATGCTATTCATGTAGCAAACGTTTCCTAAATAATCTAATCCACCTTTTTTCTCAAGATTTCCAGGACAACTCTCTACTGATTCGTAAGGAAGAACATGTTTCACAGAATCTGCATAGGAACCTTTTCTCAAGCTACAATTGATCCTTCCAAGGATTTCGTTGAGACATCGATTAGGCTTTTGCTTCATGAAGCTCTTTCACTGAAAGGGAATCAGAACCACGAGGACTGCAACTCATATTTGGGGGGCCAGAATGATCTTAGTCCATTGACCGCACTGAAAAAGAAAGAGGTGGATCAATCACATAGGAATTTATCTTGATAGGAGACTGATGAATATCCACATATCTCGACTTGTTTCGAAGAGATTTTAGTTCCGCGCTGAAATAAGGGCAATACATAATCTTCTTGAATATCTTGAACGAGAAAGAAATAGCTTACTTTCAGAAAGGTATGAAATGGTGCTATGGAAAAGAAAAGAGGAATGGAAATAGGGAGGATCATTTTGTATACGACTTGAGTAAATGCCGGACATAACAAATCAAAAATTTGTTACTTCCTGAAAGTGGGTTTTTTTCATGGACTTTCAACATAAGTGAAAAGTCCATCAGGTGAATCGTAATCGTATTATATTATCTGCATTCATTTACTTTCGGTATCAATCCTGCTGATCAACTGATTCTCTGAAAATTGAAAATACCTACAGTTGATATTCAGGTTCGCCATTGCACGGCATTATTGAGATGGCAACCTTTTTCAGCTGGTTCATTTGTATAGGTATATCGTCGTTGTCACTGCAATATCTGCTATGTGAGTTTTTGGCCAATTTGACCTGTTTATCATATAGAAATACATGCTTTGTTTTCTATAAAACGAAAATATGCCATGTGCATATTTCTCTCCAGAAGACCGGTAAACATTGTTATTTAATATCTGCTATGCGAAACACTGAAATGTAATTAATGCTATGTGCTAAAACTAACACATGGCATAAACTTTTACCAAGAATTTACCACGTGACTGCCAGAATTTTTCCACATAGCAGAGATTGCATAACCTCAAAAAGTCCGCGTCATTGGCATTGTTCTCAGTTCAATAATATAGTCCAAATGACCTCCAAATGACCGCCAATCTGGTAAGTTGCACGTTTTGTCATTTTTGTTGGTTTTGAGTAATGTGGTGTTTCGGTTTTCTCTTTAAGCACCAACTAGCAAGGCTTTTGAAGCTGATTTATCGGATTCAGATGAGGATAATGAACCTCTAAGCAAATTATTGAGGATCTAAAGCCAAAAACTTTTTTTCCCAAATTATTTTTAAAGGTTATGTTGAAATTCCATGCCAAACTTCAGTTGAACTATCAGCTGTTCCAATCAGAAATTTCAAATTAATCAGAAACCAATATTTACCAGACATGCGCGTTGACAACGATTTACAAACAGTTGGAAATCTGTTTGTGACTCAAGGTTGGAACGAACCTATTCTACTTATGAATTTGTGAGTTATTTTGCTGAGTGTGATAGTACTTTTGTTATTTTCGAAACAGTGGAACAAAAACAATTTTATGTTCCAAATTTACACTGCTTCATGTTGGGAAAAAATACATGTTCTCTTTCTCAAAATGAGTTTCCTGATATCGAAATACAAAGCGATTAGAATTCAAAATTTTTTTTTTGAGGCTCAAAACATATTAAGTTCCGATATAACTGAAAGTAATCAAAATCTACTGATCAATACAAAACCTCTAAAATTGTAAAAATAAAATATATTTCTCGAATCAAGAACGCCTTAACAATAAATAAATGCATTTTTTCTTTGTGATCAACCTAACTAAGAGCTCATTTCGATCTTTCGGTTCGCAGGGTCTCAGTAGCTGCATCAGACAACTTGATGGCGGCGAGACCTTTCTTGATGATCATTTCTGTATTCAATTCAAGCTTAGGCGCGACAATTTCATCAGCCTGAGTCTGCAGCTCTTTCCATGAGTAATCAACGTCGCATTTTTCAGTCAGTCGACTACAAATAGCAAATCTAATGACAAACTTTTTATTGAAGTGTCCCGCTATGACGAATATGTTCTTCCTTTGGTCCACCTTCGCAAGAAGAGTTTCGGTCAATCTGTCGTCTCCTTTCAACCTGAATGTCACTAGTCCCATGCTTGAAGTACAAACTTCAAAACGACTATCCTGTTCCACAAGCTCCTCAAAATATTTGGCTAGACCTATTTGGTGGCGGACATGTTTCTGGATACCGTCCACTCCATAAATTTTGAGTACAAACCACAGTTTCAAAGCCCTGAATCTCCTTCCCAGCGATATTTGCCAGTGGCGATATTCTGGGGCGAGTCCTTTGTGATTATCTTTCAAATATATCCTCTGTACATTGAATGCTTCAACTAGATATTTCGCATTCTTTACCCACATGGCTGAACAGTCAAAGTTAACTAACATCCATTTGTGAGCATTAAAATTGAATGAGTCTGCAAACTCCACCCCTTCCATCAAATAGCGGTACTCCGGACAAGCAAATGCAGTACCCGCATACGCAGCATCTACGTGAAGCCAGATTTCTTCCTTGTTGCAGATTGGTCCCAGCTCTGTCAAGTCATCAAATGCACATGTGGGCGTTGTTCCTAAACATGCCACCACATAACAAGGAATCAGCCCCTTTGCTTTATCCTCACGAATTGCTTGCAGAAGGATGCTCCCTGTTAATTTTCCATTCTCATCTGCAGGTAGGAGTCTCATTGGCATTGATCCCAGAAGACCACTTTTTTCTACGGATGAGTTGGACTGATCAGATGTGTATGCTACTAGCTTTCCCTTGATGTCTGCTTCTTTGAGTTCTGGGTCGATGGCCAATAAATCTTTAACTTTCTTCTCCTTCGCTGCTAGTAATCCAATGAACGTGACTTCACTGGCTGAACCCTGAAATGGAAAATATCAATATTGAATAATTTCATGAAACTTATGAATTATTGGTATTATCGAACGATATATACGTGAGGTTAAGTCAAAAATTAGTGTATTCACCCTCCACCGCAACCCACAAGAGTTGATTGTGGCTCACACTTATTCACACTCGACCAAATGAACCCAGTTTCCTGAAGAAGCCGATTTATTTATATGGTGAGTGAACTTACAGGTCAGACGGTAAGAGTGCGGCTCTGCTAAACTTTGAAAACCTTATTCGGTCCGCAGCGGGGCAGACACAAAGTATGTGCTCTCCTGTTCCCAAAGAGAAGCGACACACACACACAGTCCAAGTCTATGCATATGATGATTCAGACGATAGTGGCATATAAGGAGGCCTGTTAAACATCGTAGTTCATCAATACTGTAGTCCAACAACTGTTTGGTTTCAAACTTTGAAAGATGAATGAACGCCTTAGAGTGAGCTAATTCTGGAAGATTTTGCCGAAAGTCCATAAATCTTCTTGCCATCTAGGTGTTCAATGTTTGTTTGGCAAAGCCTAAAGCGATGCTAATGACAGGTTCTGGTGGTCCGATGAAGCTGCTTGCAGTACCCTCCTTTGCAAGGGAGTCAGCAGCCTCATTGCCTTCCAGGCCACTATGACCAGGAATCCAGACCAAAGATAATTTGTCTTTCTATTGAGGAGAGTCATTTTTGTCAATTTGCTACCAATTAAGTCGATATTTAAGATCTTCCATAATACAAGATGCAATATTTTGTATCTCATTTACTATTTCTCTACTGTCCATCGTTTCCCAACTACTGGACTGTAATTTTTTGTAGTGCCTCTGTATAGCCACTCAAAAAAAATACGCTGACGATTCCTAACGAGTTAATTTCAGTCCATGTATGCTGAAGGAATTGATTAATGTATTTTTGGAATCTGAGGTTGTTATCTGTGATAACAGCAAGCTTTATCATTTCATTAGCTCTTTCGAGAGGTTCGTTATTGATATTGATATCAACAATAGATTAACCATCCAACCACCATCTATCTACCAAAAGATTAATCATCAAGAAGAAGAAGGTCTCGAGAAGAAACCTGGCATCATAAAAAAAATCCTCAACGGAATGGTTACTGCAAAGTGATGGTGAAACTAACTTTGGCTACAAGACAGCAAAAGCATCAAAAGGAAGAGAAGCCTTCACAATCAGTGCTTGTCCTTCCGTACGTCAGAAGATTATCGAAAAGGATAAGAAGGCTTGGGTGCAAGTAGAACATCAGAACCTGCTTCAGATTCGGAAACACTATCCGTAGCAGCCTCACGAAAACCAGGCTACCAAACGCGGACTGCGATTCCAAGAATTGCATTCACCGGATACCTTGTGAGTGCGGCAAATCCTATATCGGTGAGACTAGGAGGCCATTGAAAGTCCAAGAGAAATACATAGTGAGGAGAAACCAGCAAATCGGGAATAGCAGAGCATGTTTGGACTCATCAACATAACATCAAGTGGTCCCAAGTTGGGATCATTCATAGGGAGGGACACTGGTTCAAGAGAAAGTTCAAAGAAGCTGCATATTTTGTTCGACGACGCTCTCAGCCAAGCTAGCGTAAAGATACGCAACATACGGAAACCTATAATCAAGCGAAAAACGGTCTAATCTCACTGAACCGCTGAAGCGGAAAGAGGGAAGATCCCCTTTTCCCTCTTTCCCCGAAGAGAGGATAGGTGAAAGCGTTAGAATGACCTATAAATATGAAGTGATTTGATTTGAAACCTTTTTTAACTTTCTTAATTTCATTTGTAATTGTTCAATTTTTTTCATTTTTATGATTTATTAAATGATTTTTTCAGTAATTCATTTCAATTCCATTTGTTCTTTCGGATATTTCGAATCACATATCAGACAATTGAAAGTTCAAATTAGTAAAATTCATATTCTTTGTGTTGGTAACTCTTCTGGTTTTCTGGATTTGCGGATTTTCAGTGAAATGTCCGACTTTTGTTAAACATTGTAATTATAACACGACTGGGGATTAACTGATAGCTTGACAGAGGACAGTGGTCTATTTATCTATTCGTTTTCTCAAATAGATTTATGTCCAACTGTCATAGGTAGTAAATATGGCATAGGCTCCTGGAGCAATTGACCATATTCCTAGTCTTGTCTGGGTGAAGGTTTTTTGAGTATACACTGCTCATTCTGATTTCTATAAGCCAGCAGTGCTCGCGTTAACATACTTCTAACCAATATTTTGGGTAATAAGACTTCTTGGTAACCATAGATCTCAAAGTATTCAGTTACCACATTGAAACCAGAACTATTCCCTGTTTGTTTAGTTCTTCGAATAGATCCTACAAGTGTATATTGGTTCATGAGTCATGAAAATAAACTTCATATCAACTAAATTATCATGACAATATTTGTAAGATTAATTATAAGCTAGAGATTTCAATTCTATTTGTTAAAATTGAACTTTATATAAACATTTTCATGGTGACTACGCAGTATACCCCAAACTGAATGGAGCCTTGGGGTGGATAACTTGAAACTGAAATTCTGTTGAGGGGCAATTCCCACTGGAAAGTGCCCCCCACTACTCCTGCCTTCCCCCTTCATGTCACATATATTTTCGTCAAGAGAGAAATATAAATATATGTATATAATACTCGTAGAATAAGTATATAAGGATAAGAGGAATAGAAAATGAAAAATTTTGTTCACTTTACCTGTATAATTCCTCCTCCCGGTCCTTCAGAGCAATTAAGGAAGTCTTCCGGCAAATTCAGTAATTTTCCCAGCCAATTCATCATTACCACTTCCAACTCTGTATATGCTGGGCTAGATACCTGTCGACCACAAAAATCATCATAGTCATATATGTATTTTTTTCAGTTATAATGATCAAAGTAACAGTTGAGATAAGAAGAATTCAATAACTGATTTCTCAAATCAAAGATCCTCTAAATCAATTGAATTATTTATAACTGATTGTTCTCTTCAACATGCATGCACTGCTCCGTTCAAAAATAATATGCGCCAACGTCTTATAATCGAATTGATGATAAAACTAAAATCTACTTCAAGAAAGTCAGTATAAAATAGCATCAGTTTCGAATCAATCGTTACAGATTTTTTCAATGAGTTTTCAAGAAACTTGATACCAGTAACAATGAAGCTATAACCTTCAAATTATATAAAACTCAATATTTATTTATATCATCATTTGAATATGCATAAACCTTCACTATTCATTGAAAATTCGCATCGTAACCACATCGACATAATACTCAATTAATGTAATTGTCATAATTGGCTCAATCTTCAATGATTATCATTCGCATGGCTTAGTGAATTTTTATCACAACTGTAATCATTTTCAATTCATATCTAATTCTTCTGAATTTCATTCATATGATTTATTGTTAGACGTTGAAATTTGGTCTCGGAAACCTCTCCTGTATAACTTTTTTCGAGATCAATTCCAACACCAAACTAACACTAAACAAACAAGATAATCAGAAAATGCAAGTTTAGGGAAGCACTTCGCAAATCTTCGACTTTTCACAAAGAGGAGAGTAATAACAAGTTTATAGGCAACTTCTCTAATAGTGATTCGACGAGTCACCATAATAATTTTCTTCAGTTTATCAATATTTTCATCGGTTATTGATGTGCCTGGCGACGTATTTACGATTTTCGACACAAAAAAATCTGAGGTAGGGGATTTTTTTCAACCCGTGAAAGCAATCTTTCGGATATTAACTTCGCACATGAATTTTTGAAAATTGAGAAGCTATCGTTAATGATTAGAGTTGACCGGAGTTAAGAATTCAATATGGTACAAAAACAGTAACACATCGATGGATAAAGTGTACTAAATAGTGTTTGAGGAGAAATCAACCATTGATCAATCTCAACTTCTCTGTTAATCAATCAACATTTATTTTTATTAGTGTAATATTATCTAACAGAAGAAATATCAAGTACACTCTACATTAAAAAAAAAAATCTAAAATAGTTGAAATTGTTGTTCTCACTTTTTTTGTCTTTATTTATTGTTAAGTAAGGAAAAATATTATATTGAATATGTGCACGGACCACATGACACCGAAGTTCACCTTTAACACAAACTTCAAGGCCAAAATCATAAGCCGTGAAGAGTGGACGACCATTAGTCATCCCAAACACATGTTTGGAAAAAACACCTGGTATACAGATGGATCGAAGACCAAACATGGAACGGGAGCTGGAATATACCGAGCGGATTGAAATTTAAACTACAGTTATCCGCTAGGACTATACACATCCGTCTTTCAGGCGGAAGTGTATGCTTTCTTGCAGTGTGCAAGACTTATTGAATTGGGACCTCAGCTGCAGATTATGCAACGAAGGGATAGAAACAGCTCTACACATCTGAGGTACTGAATCACAGCAGGCAGGCAATATATGGACGTACAAAATAACGTCCAGAAGAATATGACGAACATCCAACACGGAACCTGTACAAACTAGTACAGGGAACGAGACTGATGGAATGGGGGTCTTGAGAAGATGGGAGAATAAACGCAATAAGCCCAAGAGGCTGCAGTGTTTTCTGGTGATTTGGACTAAATGGACAAGTCAGACAGCTCCCAAGGGACCAAGAAAAATGGGGAAAATATAGGGCACAGTCCGGCAACATTGTATTTTTCCACTGGCCAGAGAGTGGACAAACAATGATTTGGTATATTACTTTTGTAAATGCACATCAGGGTTCACAATCTTTCGGCGGTTTTTTGTGTTATTCTAAAAGTTCTGTAACGATGCCAGGTTCAGCTAGCAGGTCCTTTGCATCAACGGAATTGAGAAATTTTTCATACTTCCTTATCCTAACGTTTCTGTCCGACCAAGTGGACCTACAAGTCAAGGAAATGAAACCTCTACTGTATAACTTTTTCCGAGATCAATTGCCCTAACACCGAACGAACAAGATAATTAGAAAATGCAAGTTTAGGGAAGCACTTCGTAAATCTTCGACTTTTCAAAAAGAGGAGAGTAATAACAAGTTTATAGTAATCCCATATGAACCCCAGTACACGAGAGGGCTTCAACAGATATTCAATAAAGTAAATATGAAACTTGCATATAAAACTTCTTATAAATTGCAACAGCTTCTTGGTAATACAAAAGATAGACTAGAAAACACAGAACACACACTTTCTATGTAGTTAGTTTCAATGTTACTTCAGCCAATACTCAGTTAGTGAGATATTTTTTGTAGTTTCATTGAATGACTTATCTTACTACCTCTTCTAACATATATACGAGGTCTGCTCAAAAAATTAGGTGAATTTTTCCTGGAAATAGGAAAAGTAGAAGGGGGGAAATCTGGCTGAGGAATGATTTCGGTGTTGTTTTTGGCCAAAAAATTATGAAAATGTAATTACGAGTGAGCAGGTGCATTATCGTGATTTGAAAGCCATAAAAAAATTGTTTCTTCACAATATCGGGGTTTTCTTCGTATCTCTTCTCGTAGCACTACGCCACGGTAATCGAAAAGAAACAGTGAGCAAAACCTTGTCGTTTTATCGAACTTGGCGTGCTTATTTTGGACTTGGCTATTTTGGGACGATTGGACTTTGGTTTCGATGTTATATCCATAAACCCAAGATTCGTCACTAGTTATAACCCCTCCAAGCAAGTTTGGATTGCCGTTGACGTTATTCAACATTTCCTGAGCGATGTACATGCTACGGTTTTTCATAGGCAAAATTCAGCAATTTCGGAACATCGCTGCCACATGAGCAAAATTTCCGAGGAAATTGTATGGCATGAGCCAAATGAATTTGATCTCCAGTGATTGAAATCCAATGTGAATCACTACTTTCGCACAGGCACCGCTCTAAGAGCGCCTTAAAGATTTTCCTGTAGTGTTTGTGTTTTGTCCTTAACAAATAATAGTATGAGCCAACCGATATGCCGATATCCTCGGCAACTTTTCTAATAGTGATTCGACGAGTCACCATAATAATTTTCTTCAGTTTATCAATGTTTTCATCGGTTATTGATGTGCCTGGCGACGTATTTATGATTTTCGACACAAAAAATCTGAGGTAGGGGATTTTGTTTCAACCCGTGAAAGCAGTCTTTCGGATATTAACTTCGCACATGAATTTTTGAAAATTGAGAAGCTATCGTTAATGATAAGAGTTAAGAATTCAATATGGTACAAAAACAGTAACACATCGATGGCTAAAGTGTACTAAATAGTGTTTGAGGAGAAATCAACCATTGATTAATCTCAACTTTTTTGTTAATCAATTAACATTTATTTTTATTAGTGTAATATCATCTAACAGAAGAAATATCAAATACACTCTACATTAAAAAAAAATCTAAAATAGTTGAAATTGTTGTTCTCACTTTTTTTGTCTTTATTTATTGTTAAGTAAGGAAAAATATTATATTGAATATGTGCACGGACCACATGACACCGAAGTACACCTTTAAGACAAACTTCACGGCCAAAATCATAAGCCGTGAAGAGTGGACGACCATTAGTCATTCTGAAAACATGTTTGGAAAAACCACCTGGTATACAGATGGATCGAAGACAAAACATGGAATGGGAGCTGGAATATACCGAGCGGATTGAAATTTGAACTACATTTATCCGCTAGGACTATACACATACGTCTTTCAGGCGGAAGTGTATGCTTTCTTGCAGTGTGCAAGGCTTATTGAATTGAGACCTCAAAGAAATGAGCGGATCAATATTTTACAGCGCACTAGGGGCGCTGACAAATCCGAAAGTGACATCAAAACTGGTTTGGGAAGGCCATGAAAAACTGAATGAACTCGCAAACAGGAACAACTTAACTTTGTACTGGGTGCCAGGGCATTCAGGAATCACAAGTAATGATAAAGCTGATGAATGCGCTAGACACGGATCATCAACTTCATATATAGGTCCTGAACCAGCTCTGGGGGTACCAAAATCATTGGTATGAAACCAGATTAGGATGTGGACCAATAAGAATCACACAGAGTACTGGAGAAAAGTACCTGGCAACCAACACAGTAGAACCTTCATTGGGGAACCGTCCGAGGAAAGAACCGAATAACTACTTCAATATAGTAGGGATCGGCTCAGAATAATTACAGGGTTACAAACCGCTCATTTTCCGCTTAGAGGATACCTGAATAAAATGGGGCTGTTCAAAGGAAACCTCAGCTGCAGATTATGCAACGAAGGGATAGAAACAGCTCTACACATCTGAGGCACTGAATCACAGCAGGCAGGCAATATATGGACGTACAAAATAACGTCCAGAAGAATATGACGAACATCCAACACGGAACCTGTACAAACTAGTACAGGGAACGAGACTGATGGAATGGGTGTCATGAGAAGATGGGAGAATAAACGCCCAAGAGGCTGCAGTGTTTTCTGGGGATTTGGACTAAATGGACAAGTCAGACAGCTCCCAAGGGACCAAAAAAAGGGGAAAATATAGGGCACAGTCCGGCAACATTGTATTTTCCCACTGGCCAGAGAGTGGACAAACAATAATTCGGTATATTACTTTTGTATATGCACATCAGGGTTCACAATCTTTCGGCGGTTTTTTGTGTTATTCTGAAAGTTCTGTAACGATGCCAGGTTCGGCTAGCAGGTCCTTTCCATTAACGGAATTGAGAAATTACTCATACTTCCTTATCCCAACGTTTCTTCCCGACCAAGTGGACCTACAAGTCAAGGAACTGTCTCAACAACAAAATCTCAATCTGTGAGTATAATTTAGATTTCACAAATTTCAAACTGGGCAAAGAGGGAACAATTGTGTTGATCGTTTTTTGTTTCATGCACCTCGATGAAAGTGAGAATGTTATTAGTTTGATAGATTGACTTGTTCCATATCTAACATCACAATGATGGGCATTTAATCCATGTCAACCTGCACATGGAAGCGCAGGACTAAAAGAAAGACAAATGACGAAGATAAAAACTATAGTTACAAGTGCTATGACCACGAAATAATTCCAAAATCAAGTTACATGAAGGTTGTTGATTTTGTTTAAAGCTGGGTACAAACATGCGACAGAATCTCGTAACGTAACCTTAGCTTAAGGACTCTGAACGTCATTAAAATTACTACTAACTGTTTGTTACACAAGGAAGTTTATTTCAAAAGTTTTATTGCATTTCTGTATCTGGCTCCAGACCCCACAGGCATGATAATATGTTCCCTATCAGTGACACCGGTATCAACTCACTGAGGTTAGGAAACAGAAGGACGGTTTATTTTTGATAATTGAAACCATGGCACAAAATGTACAATACGATAAAAATAGTTTATTGGAGAATCATTACTGATTTCTAAATTACAATAGAGAGTGCACTTCTGTGGAAGGGTGCAAAAAATAAACTCACCCAACTCAATCCGACGCATCCAAAACCTGCGCTCAGCATTTCTCCAACAACAGCTGGGAAAGAATTTGCAGTTGGATAATACGCATGAAATTTCGGAGAGTGCCAATGTGTTAGTCCTGGCATAATTATCCTGTCGACATCCTGGAGAACTTCCTGCCATGATTCGCCTGTTTTGGGGGGATCTTTCGGAAGGAGGTCGCCTAGGTATCCGGGCTCGACTGAAGGTAATACTGGTCTGTAACATAAAGGGTTTATGTACCATGAGGATTGAACAAATACAATAGCAGGGGAGCCCACGATGCAAAATGGGGATTTACTCGAGCGTCATTGAGACATATTAGGTTGCAAAGCTTAGATGGTAAGAAGAAAAAAATGTTATATAATATATAACTTTTTATCGGTGGGGGAAGCGGCTATAGATTTTCAATGTTGATATGTTGATCTAATCGTTTGCATGATGTGGGTGGTTGTACGTAAGGGTTAAAAGTGAAAAGAATAAAAATTTAATCGAGCGTCAGATTTTCTAAGGGGATGTTGAGTGCAACAAAAACAAGCTCTCATTCTATAATCTGACGATTTCGATCTGACGCAAACTCGCGGCCATTATTTTAATGTGCAAAAAAATTCACCATTCTGAAATACTCAAGCGCGTCAGATTGAGATATATATGATTCATCTTTATGTTTTAGACGTGCTGTCTCATAATCTGACGATTATCTAAAGGGATTCGCTTAATCTGGCGAATACAATATTTTTTTGAATTTTTTTTTATTCATTCAACTTAATTAATTGAAAAGCTCAGGAAATAGCACGCAAATTGCTGGCTTAAGATGATGACGTTTATTGCCCGATTTTTTGTATGAAATAGATTTGGTGGCGACTTCGTCAGTATTATATAACTAATTGATCCCGAATCATAGGAAATGGTTTTAAAATTGAGTGAAAAAAATCTCGGACATGAACTTAATCCAAAATTGAAAACAGAACCTCTTTTTCTTCAAGAACAAAATACAAGCACGACATAAAACTGCTTGAAGCGCTCTAAGAGCGGTGCCTATGCGGAAGTGGGGATTCATGGCGACAGTCTGTCGCGTATTTCTGATAATCAAATTTGACAAGTCACTTGAACAACTCTGGTGAAGGTATATATGAAAAAGAGACAAATCTTCGACCTTTCTTCGTTGTTCCACACTATCAAGGTTGTAAGTGATGTTCTTGTGTCAAATCAGGCAGATGGCCCCCTTCTAGATTGAATACAGCAGCTTCCGGGTATGTTTAGGGTCAGACTTTCATACTTGAGAACAATACTCCAAAAAAAGTCTGATGCGAGCTTTATAAAGCATCAAAATTTGCTGAGGTGTGTACAGTTTCCTGGTTCAGAACAATGTTCCTAGCTTTTGAGGAGCAGCCTTTGCAATTCCACCGACATGATTGTGCTAAGACATAATATTGGTGTCCATTTCAACCCCAACAAACGGTTTGAAGAAGAAAGTGGATTTGTCTGCTTGGACATTTATCTTTTTAGAAAAAACCGATGCCTCATTAAGGTATGAAACCTACTGCCAGTGAATATGTACATCCGCATCCGATATCCTGGAAAAAAATATAATGACGAGACAAGTGTGATGTCGTCAGCGAAGCAATATATTGGATTCTTGGTATTTTCCAATGAGTCATTGATATACAATAAAAAGAGTGTTGGAGACAATATGGATCCGTGAGGAACACCAGCGTTGACGGTAAAAGTATTCGGAAGAAAGCCATCGACGGTCACTTGTAGGGAACGTTCTTCAAGGAAACTGGAGAGCCATACACAAAAATGATCCGACAAGCCATATCATGGAATTGTGGCCAGCAAACTTTCATGCCATACATGGTCAAAGGCATTAGAAATATCAAACGCAACAGCTCTTGACTCTCCATGTTTCTCGATTGCGTTATTCCAAATTTGGGTGACATACGATAGAAAATCGCCTGTTGATCTTTGTTTCCGAAAGTCATATTGATGGTCGCTCAAGATGTTGAAGCCTTTTCAGAGTGGGGACGGAGTGAGAGAGTAACAGATATAGAGAAAGTGAATAGAGAATAGAGGAATAGAAACTCGGAGAGGAGGTACTTCACCGGGTACAAGGTATCCCCCTGTATATTAATCTGCCGCGCTTTAGAAAATCCCGAAATCCCCGCTTGGGCTCCCCTACTATAGTAGACTTGTGACACGAGCCAAAATATGTAATGCTTTTACAATTCATCTCAGGCATGAAAACTGTGATAGAAAATCTTTCAATCGAGTTTTTCCATTATGAAAAATTCCGATACAAATTTTTCATGAATATCATGAATTTCATTTTTAGAAAAAAATGAATATTTGGGTAGAAACGGTTCAGGCCTCCTTTCCATCTTCATACAAAAAAAGACCACACGACTGAATTTTAACTTCGTCAGATCTATCTATATGTTAATATATGTAAAATATACGCATGTATTGAATTTATTATATGTTTTCATTAATAAATGAACATTTTTGAAAAGAATTTTTATTTTTATTCATCATTTTCTTTATTATCATTATCGGATACATTAGTGATTACTATATTTGTGATTCACTGTTTGGAACCTTTGGTGTAGTAATGAATATTACTGGAGTATAATCTTCCTCTTGAAGATGATCTCTTGGTGATCAAAACACGAGTCGAGGTGTTGAAATAACGGTTTGGTATTGGGATAAAACTTCAGTTATATTCAGTGATTACCGTGTTCGATTGTGATACCGAGAAGGGCTCATTGTATGAGCAATACGATTCATATGTTTTCCAATAAGAATTAAAAAGATATCTAGAAAAAACTGTATCGATTGTTGTTCCATGTCTTGTGGTAGGGTCATTTCGATTATTATTCCCAAGAGCTCCACCTCAAATAAAGGCAAGGAACCGGCTGCTCCTGCAGGAAAGCTCTCTCACTTATGCATCTCCACGGAGGAAACCCCAAGAAGGTTGTAGAAGCCGCGCGACGACAGTAATGTCGCTGCACCTTCTAAATCCTTCGCGGAGGCCACTGTGAGACACAGTTGCAAAAGAAAGTGTGTTGTGCGAGTCTTGACCTACACCCTTGACCAATATAAATGAGATGTCTCTTAGTGACCTGGCCACCTAGAGGACAACTCCTCGGGAGGATGTACAATGAGTCACATGTGGCCTGAGTGCTGTGGGTCTACACTCGCCTTCCCTACTCTGCAGATACAGATCTCTTGCTGAAATCAGTGGCAACGTATGATATTTTTCTTCTAATTCTTCAGAGCCTACTCGACTGTAAATGTTTTCTCACACCTCTCTCTTCTCTCTTTTCACTACAGTAATATACAAAACTCTCTCTCTCTCTTTCTCTCTTTCTATCTTCACTAACTTATACCTTCCTCTCACCTCCCGTTCGCCGCTCCCTATTGCAGTTTTCGTAACGCTGTCTTTTCGTATTTACCAGCTTATTTCCCAAGTCAAGCGCGCGTAAAGGAGTTTCACTTCAAAAAAATATGGTAATCTTTCAAAAGAAGGAAAGATTCATACAGAGATGTGTAGATCCTGCAAAGAAGTGACTTTCTGGAAAGAAAAGCCCTCTCGAAATAACTACTTTCATATAAACATTGAGTTACATAGAAGAAAAAATACTTTCAAAACAAAAACACTTCCTCCTATTCAATTTGTGCTCCGAATATTCGTTATGGAATTGAACAAGATACCACTCACAGGATTGCTACACAATTTAGTATATGAAAGAGGTAACATTTCACTTACATCGAACAGTGTCATATTTAATGGCGGACATCCGATGTTTCGGATTGAGACATTTCTCTCACCGCTTCTTCAGCACCAATCTGGATACCATTACAAGATCAGACACTCGATTAATTCATGAAATTACGACTTCATGTCATGAATGAGTTGAATCTACTCGTGTAGTAGTACGTAATTACATTCATTCGCTTATTTGATTCAATCCCAGTCATATGAATCTTGTTCAAATTGAAACATATATATTCATAATATTACGAATTTATGTCACAAATGAGTTAAACCTACTCATGTCATCGATGACAGTGTGTAATGACATTCATTCGCTTATTTGATTCAATCCCAGTCATATGAATCTTGTTCAAATTGAGAGGGGTATATTTAGGAGAGGTTTATTATTGGGAAAACTTTTTTGACGACTTTGTAGTTCTCCATCTTTATATAAGAAATGTGTAAATCTTCCAAAGATAGAAAAAATACAATGGATTTCAAGTAGAGAGGGTGCACTTAGGCTACATGTGACCCATTTTACATCCTCCCGAGGAGTTGTCCTCCTAGGTCACCGTCTATTCTGTCCTTTCCAGAAAGGTGGACAGGTCACTAGGAGATATCTTTATATCAGCAGGTGTAGACCAAGACTCATCGAACACATACTCTCTTATTGACGATAACTCTAGGCACTCGCGTTGGACATGCTTGACAGTCTCATCTTCCTGTTCACACATCCTGTATAGAGGTGTGTCCACTAGCCCCATATTATAGAGGTGTTTCCTTAGTTGTTAGTGGCCAGACAGAAATTTTACTGTTAAACATAGATTTTTCCTGGTCATCGCCAAATATTTCTTCGGCGCCAGCTTCCCAGGGTCGCCCAAGGTGATTCTGCCAAGATTGCATCTTTCAATTCCATCCCATCTCTTTAGTCCAGCCACTTTCTTGGCTAAAAGAGTCGGCAATGCGATTACTTTTACTCCTGTCGTGCCCTTCAACCCACCTCAGAATAATGTTATTATCTACCGAGGCTTTGAATAAATCTTGGTGACACTCTAGTACTAGCCCTGAGTTTACACGTTGTCTATTCAAGGCTAATAGGGCTTGTCTGCCATCAGTGCAGATTGTTATGTTTTTGCCAGAAATTCCTTTCCTGGTTATTTCTTTTGTGGCGATTGAGACACCAGCCAGTTCTGGTTGGACCACGCCGGTATTTTTTACCATTCCTCACTTGATCATTAGTGATCAGAAGTACACTCCACATCCTGAACCTTCTTTGAGCCGTCTGTATATATATGCGTATTGTATTTGTAACATCTGACTCTGTGTTCTGTTTTATTTGTATTTTGTAGGGTTGATTAAACACAAACCTGGATTCAATTGCATCACTGGTTGCCTTCAGCAAAGGTTGCGCAGTAAGCGCTTCCCGCCATAGGCCCAGCCTCAATTGAGGGGTCAGACCCCTAATTAATTCCATTACCGCGGTTGGTGTTGTTCTCATGCCTCCCAAGTAGTGAATTTCAAAAGGAGACATTGAAAGCCAAAACCTCCATTTCAGTGGATGACGTTGTTGATATTCATTTACTATTACAACTTTTCCAAAAAAGTTGATTGTATTTGTTGATTGTGTCAAACATCGAAATTTCTATATATTCCGATTGGGAGATAAATGGACCACCTTGTCAAAGTTGAAAACGATGAGTAGGTCAGTAGTTCGTCGACACATCAACAACCAGTCTGGTTTTCTATCGAATCAAAGAGGTATCATGAGACTAGAACAGGCTTACGTAATGTAAAAGTTGAAAGATAATTTTATCGATTTTATATAACATCCGAAGCAGAGTCTGATTATGAAAGACTGGTTCGTGTAATTATGAGAGTGTAAACACCTCAACTTTCTTCCTGGACTTTGAACTTGAACGGATTGACAGAAAATGAGCTACTTCTTACCTCCGTATAAAACTTCACGAAATGAATGGATATCTGTCTTGATTCCAAATTAATAAATTGGTACAGCAATAGCTTCAATATTTTTATCCACAATGAAACGAACACTTAGGTGCAACGCCACTATCCACCTCAATGGTATTTCACGACTGAGATAAGGTATGCACCTATTACTTTAATTCAATAAGAGCAACTTCCACTTCTCTTAAGACGATTTCATCATCTTCATCGAGTCATAACCTTCGAAACTCTTTGTACTAATGAGCTGTGTGTTTTGTTTTTCCGGAACGTACAATTTTTCTGAAGCAAGAGGAAGGTGATTTCAAGAGGAAGATCAGAGTAATAGTTAGAATTGCTTCGAAGGCAAAGAAGAGGAGCTCTATTTCTATTCTCCTCAAGTTTCGGAACGATATGCTAGAAGTAATTGAAAGTAACAGTACTTCAGCTATAACAAGACTTCAGGTTGGAGTGGAAAATGTAGAAATACATGCGGGACTGGCTGTGAAATGTTTTACTATATTTGTTTCATGTGACTGATGGATATTCGAATTGTAAAGTAATGAAATGAAGACATTTTTCGAAACTATCACTTCAATATACCCATTATCACATTCACACAAATATACTCATCAACAATTTCATACAAACTTTATTCTGAACTTCAAAAAGAATTGTTAGGTCAATTCATTGATTTCATTCTAATTGTTACAAAATTATAAGAGATTAGAAAAGAAATATGTCTAGAATCAAATTATGATTTCATAATACTGAATCTATGGAACGGTGCAGATTTCGTCTGCATTGATGAAAGTGTCCCCCAGGACAGACAATTTCGCTTTCTGCTTCGATAAGTTTGTTGGGGTTTAAAATGGACACCAACATTTCTTGGCACAATCATGTCGCTGAAATTGCAAAGGCTGCTTCTCAAAAGCTTGAAACATTGTTCCGAACCAGAAAACTATTCAAACCTCAGCAACTTATGATGCTTTATAAAGCTCAGATCAGACCTTCTTTGGGGTTCATTATGAAATAAAATATAATGCAGTCCAACCTTTGTTTAACAACGACTTCTTGGAAAAAAACAAGAATCCAATATAATGCTTTGCTGACGACAGTACACTTGACACGTCATTCCATTTGGATTCCAGCACATGTTCATCTGCAGATGTACATCTGCAGATGCACATCTTCACCGCCAGCAACAGGTTACATATCTTAATGAGCACCTAGAGGTGATTTCGAATCGGTTCGAAAGTAACCAATGTCACAAAAATCCGGGCATCGGTTTTTTCCAGATAGATAAATGTTTCCGAACCGGATGTAATAACGCCAGGACAGACAATTTCGCTTTCTGCTTCGATAAGTTTGTTGGGGTTTGAAATGGACACCAACATTTCTTGGCACAATCATGTCGCTGAAATTGCAAAGGCTGCTTCTCAAAAGCTTGAAACACTGTTCCGAACCAGAAAACTGTTCAAACCTCAGCAACTTATGATGCTTTATAAAGCTCAGATCAGACCTTCTTTGGGGTGAAGTTCTCATATATAAAGTTCCCCCCCTAAACATACCCTGAATCTGCTGGATTTCATCCAGAAAAGAATCATCCGCCTGATTGGTGACGCGAACATCACCTTGATAGTCTGGAACATCAAAGAAAGGTTAGAGAATTGTCTCTCTTCTATAGATACTTTCACGGGAAGTGTTCAAATGACTTGGCACGTTTCCAAATGGATTTGATCTCCATCGATTCAAATCCAATGTGAATAGCTACTGTTGCACAGGCACCGCTTTTAGAGCGCCTCAAGGATTTTTATGTGTTGCTTATGTTTTGTCCCTAGAAAAAATTATAAACAATTCGTTTTGAATGCAGAATGTCCTTAGTATTCTCGATATCCATGAAATAAATAATAATTCAAGAGATGGTAAATATGAATTCCATCGTATTACTGGGTCAATATTTCTTTGTGTATATACCAGTTAAATTTGAAATTGAATTATATATTTTTGAACAACTTTGACAGGTTCAGTTGAAGTTTTATGAGCCAAAGCAACATGCTATAATAATATACTGCAATAAGCTCGTTTTCCAGAAACTTTGATGTCAAAAAACTGACTTCAAATATATAAATTTCTATTTCATGCATCTGAAAAAATGCTTTCCTCAAGAAAATCATTGAGTTTTATCGAATCCGACGAAAAAGACCGCAGACACGGAAAAAACAACGAATAATGCATAATTTATTATATTTTCAATTGGTGTAATGTATGTTAACAAAAACATCGGAAAATGATAATTACAAATGTTCATGAAAATCTTATTTTATTTGATTTTTTAGTGAATACACGCTTAGCTCATATTCTCAGGTGATAATTGTTCATATTCGAATGAATTTCCCTGAAATGCAACTTTATTACAGTGAAAAATAGTGCAGTTATGATATTACACTGAGAAAACCGAATATTTCAGTATATTTTCTTCAATATCCAGTACTTCGAGCATTTCATTCATGAATTTCAATAAATAGTTTGAAGCTAATTTTTTTCATTCCTTCTGAAAGTGAGCATTTCAACAAAAAAGACCAATAATAATTTTGAAAAAAATGTTTTTGGCACATGTTCTCATCTTGTCTGAGATTATATCAAATTTCGTGGAATACAAATAGTTTTTGTAGTGAAATGAATCAGAAACGAAAGCACGACATTGTACGATGTGTCTTGAAAAATTTCTGCTCGCAACCTATTCGCTGGAAATCGTCATCATGGATAATAAAAAAGTTTCCTATATGATGCAAACTTTTTGAAACTCACTGTATATGGAACATTTCGTTTGTTGAGACTCACCCCAACTGTCTGAAAATTTGGTGGAGATATGTTGACAATATTTTTGCTGTTTGGAATAAAAACCATGATGATTTCAATACTTTTTTAAATTATATCAACAAACAGAAACCGACAATAAGGTTCACAATAGAGATTGCAGAAGATGGTCAACTCCTTTTTCTTGATGTAATATTGGAGACATCCTCAGATCAATTTGCTACAAATGTTCATCGGAAGAAGATACAAATATGTATCTCAACTACACATCAAATCATCATGCGAGTTTTGAAAAAGGTGTAATGAATTGTCATAACAGAGCAAAAACGATATGCAATTCAACTGAAAATGTTTATAAAGGAATATCACTAATAAAATATTTTCTGAAAGAGGAGGCTTATCAAGATTCGTCCATAAATTCAACGATGAATGCAAAAGAAAATAAAGAGTCAAATAAAAACCAAGTGACCCTACAAACAACATCACGAAATCAACAACATCCAACTCAACAATTACCGACTCAACCTTTCACAACTGACGTTATACCTTACATTCCAGGACGATCTGAAAAGATGAGATGCATTTGAAATATATATGATGTTAGAATTTCTCTCAGAACAACCAGCATAGTCAGATCTATGCTCACACACACAGAACCCAATGACACAGAAGAAATCTTGTTCTTGTGGTAAAAGTTATATTGGTGGAACCATCAAAAGTAAGTGAGGAATTAACATCAAGGCTACGTCAGAAAATACAATTAACAGGGTTAAAATTGCCACAACACATTTTGAAATCAGACGGTGAACATCGAGTTGAATGGAACAAGACGAGAAGACTAAAAGAATCAGCGTATATTCTCATATCAGGAGAGGAGTGTACTTGGCCACCCGTCTTCAAGAAAAATATGGATAGTGGCGAAATAGCAACAGACTAGCAATAGCAACAGACAGGGAACACCCTGTATAACATTGTTTGTTTCGGGAGTCAATCAACAACACTGGCATAATTTAAATTTCAAAACCATTTTGACATATGTCGAAGAAGTTGAGAAATAAAAAACCCAGCAAAGGGAAACTTCGTATAGACTTGAATTTTGTGCATTTCTGAAGACGGGGCAGATTTTGGCTACCGAAACGTTAAGTTAAGTATTGTATGATTCTCAGCTCTTTTTTGTGATAGGAAAATTCATTAAATATGACCAAGTTACTGATAAATATAATATTGTGGAAAATACTTTGAATTTGCACAGTTAAGTTATCAGGGTAAGATGAAAACTTTACCCTTTCTACATTTGTATGACGTTCTCTATTACAATTTTCATATTTTTCAGATTATTACTAGAGTTTCAAAATTTGTATGAAATAAAATGAAAAAAAAACTCACCTGTCTCTGATTGTTTCAATATAGTCAGCAATGTAATCCACAGCGGCTTTTCCAAACTGTCTAAATTCTTGTGCATCCATAATGTTGAAATCACTTTCTCTTAAGGTCGAAATAAAACAAAACCTTGTCCACTTTCACACGCAGTCGGATATTATATCACGATGCCGTTACTATAACTAATAACTCGTTGTGTGGTAGGTACTTGGAGGAGGATTTAAATAAAAGTGAGAATAAAAGTGGAAGTCGGTCCGATTCTCTTTTTATACACCGTTTTCGCGACGCTTTACTCTGCCCTTCAGGAAATATTTCAAAGCGCAGCTTTGTATTGTTGTGTCCGTAACTATTTCTTGATGAATAGGTACCCAGTCGAGGATGGTATTTATATGATTTTGGGAGTAACATGGTGAACCGTTCCTAATGACATAAGTCGTCACGCCTGGTAGATAAACGAGAGGTATCGATATATCCTTGGCATTGGTAAAAAGTTGGCATTGGCGGTTTCCAATTCTCCAGATGATGTTTTTTTTCATTAAAATCAAACCCAATGCCGAACTTTCCTGTTACGGAATCTTTGAGAAATATCCCAGTGGGGTCTCCATCTTAAAAAAAAAATGGAAATCCTCCAAAGAAAAATGTTTACATCATGCAAAGAAGTAACTTCCAGACACAAACTGGAAGAAAAATCCCTCCCGATACAACTCCTCCTTATGAACTTTCGCAACTACTTTTGTATGAACATTGAATTCAGCTTTCTTTAATAAAATACAATTTATCAACAGCAAAATCAAATAATTACGATAGTATGTTACGTGCCAAGTAGGATAAGAAGCCAGTTGCCGACGAGCGAAAAATTGTAAGCACGAGGCGTTAGCCGAAAGCGATAATTCGCGAGAGGGCGTAATTGGCCTTATTCTCGATGTGCGTACTATACTTTTTCTACGACTGATAAAAGAAAGGAATGGTACAATATTTTTGTTTGAGATTATGGCTTTGGATCTGCCCCTGCATTAACTAAAATAGTCGCAGATGACCTTCGGAAACAGTGGCCAGTATATAATTCAGGCACACAGGCTGTTTTGTACATTTCCTATTTTTGTAATTCAAAACAAAACATTTGTGCTGGTCGAAGCTTCACATATTCTTGTGAATTTGGTAGAATTCTCCTGTGACTGAAATTTCTAGAAATCTTGGTTTTAGTATCGGGTAATTTTATTAAAAGGGCCGAATTAAGATCTTCCATGTCATCAATTTTTAATTTTTGGAGTTCATCACAACGGCATGCTCCTGTCAGCCCAACAGCTAAAGCAGCCTGCAATCAAAACCAACCAAAATCATTCTCAATTGGAATCAACATGTAATACATTTTTGGAATCAGCTCAGCTAGAGTAATCCGAAAATTGAGACAAAATGGGGGTGTTCCATTTAAAAAAAAATGACGGTGACGTCATTACTCGAACGTAATTCACCCTGTATATTAGATTATTATTTTAAAATGACCTGTTTAGCTAAAAATGAATTTGTTCCATACTTTACGGACACAGTGTATACCAACACAGTTTTTCATAATTAAGGTATCATCAGCATCAAGTACTGAGACCATAATGTTAATGATTTCAATCTTCTTGACAACTCTTCAAATACAAGGTATTTTCGGAACAAGAATTTACCTTGGCTTTCATTTTCCAGTCCATAAAATTTCTGTAAGCGATTTCATATTTTTCTTTCGATGTGCTTGGAAGCAAATTATTGCAAACATCTATTGTTTTCTGGACAATTTCTGAAGGCGTATTTTCCAACTCTGAATCTGCGTATCCCATTATATTCAATATTTAATAAATCTGAACTGTTCATACTATAACAATCAACAATAAAACTGATTTCGTTGGGTAAGTTGACAGCAATAATTATGCAGTGCTTCGGTTTTGTTGTTATGGAAAAGCCGACAATGGGCTACTTGGATATTGCACGCGAATCGTTGGCGTAGCGTTGTCAACATGGAAAACGTGTCATATCAATCTGACATGTAATAATTCATGACTGACTTGGGTTAGCGTGATAACAATGAGAAATTATTTCTCACTGTAGTGGCGGATATTTCTCACTGCGTGAGAAATCTTTCGTTTTGAACGTATGACAGCGATGAGAAAAGTGGCACATTGTATAGCATCCGTAGAAAAAAGTACATTTTTCACATAACAATGAAGAGAAAGCATAAAAAATCCATTAAAATCAACAAAAAATCAAATTCGGTAAAAACTCAAAAGAGAAATTCCATAGGTCTGTGGGGAATTTCATGATTCAAGGAGGTGATCCTACTAAGACAAGACGTGGTGATGAATCAATATGGAAAAACGAATTTGAAGATGATTTTCGACAAAACTTATCAAACATTCTTTCTATGGCTAATTCAGGAAAGCATATCAATACCTTTGGTGTAGTGATGAATATAACTAGAGCTTTTTTCAACACCTCGACACGTGTTTCGATCACCAAGTGATCATCTTCAAGAGAAATATTGAACAGTTCAATCTTCCTCTTGAAAGTGATCAGGAAGTGATCGAAACACGTATCGGGGTGTTAAAATAACGGTTTGGTGTTGTGAAAAAACTCCAGTAATATTCATTACCTATCGGTCATGAAAGCATGTGAATAACAAACACATTATTTTTGGCTCAGTCATTGGTGGTATGGAAACTCTTCTAGCAATGGAGGAAATAGAGGTTATTAACAAAGATAGACCAATCACAGACATTATTTTAATCAATGCTCAGATTTCCGTAAACCCATATGATGAGGTAGATGAGCAGCCTGCGAAAGAGAGACAGACTGAGACAGAGAAACAATGAGAGAAAGGGCAAGAGACTAAAAACAAACAATTCTACCATAGACTTGAAACTATTTTAAAGTGGTGTTGTCAATTATATCGATCCTAATGCAACTAAGAGGCCCAAGGAAGATTGCACTGATGTGGAGTCAGTTACAAAGAGGAGAAGAGGAGGAGAATTTCTTCCACAACTTTGATGACTGGTGAAGAATGAAGACATTGGTACAAGAATGACATGTGTATAAATATGCCTACCCCGTTATGGAATTGAATCAGATATCATTTACAAGATTGCTACACACTATTTTTCGAGGACAGAGCACAAGCACTACAGAAAAATCCTCAAGACGCTTTAAGAGCGGTGCCTGTGCGAAAGTAGCGATTCAAGTTGGATTCGAATTGCTGAAGATTAAATTAATTTGGAAAAACATTCTCAGGACGTTTATTTCGCATAAACGCAGTTCTTTATATGGAAGAGTTCTCAAACAATGAAGTTNCGAAAGTAGCAATTCAAGTTGGATTCGAATTGCTGAAGATTAAATTAATTTGGAAAAACATTCTCAGGACGTTTATTTCGCATAAACGCAGTTCTTTATATGGAAGAGTTCTCAAACAATGAAGTTTGAGGTGTACTGAGTTGAACCTCGAAACGATTAGCAGCCATAACCTGTCGCGTATTTCTGATATGCAGCGCTCTAGGTGGAATAAAATGTGTCAAGTCACTTGAACACCTCCCATGTGTGAATCTATGAAAGAGAGACAAATCTCCAACCTACGTTCGATGTTCCAGACTATCAAGTTTGCAAGTGATCTTCAATCTGGCAGATGGGTTTTTTCTGGATAGAATCTAGCAGCTTCAGGGTATGCTTGGGGAAAGCTTCATAAATGAGAACAATAATTCAAAGAAGGTCTGATCTGAGCTCTATAAAGTATCAAAGGTTGCTGAGATGTGTACAATTTTCTGGTTCTCAACAGTGTTTCAAGCTTGTGAGAAGTAGCCTTTGCAATTCCAGTGATATGATTGTGCCAAGACATACTGGTATCCATTTTAACCCCCAACATATTTAACGAAGCAGGAAGCGGAATTGTCTGTCCTGACATTATTATATAAGGTTCGGAGACATTTATTTTTTTTTTTAGAAAAACGATGCCTGGATTTTCGTGGCACTGAATTGGATTCGAAATCACATATAGATCCTCATTGAGATATGCAACCTCCTGCTGCGGTGAAGATATTCATTCTTACCCCAAAGTGAAAAAGAACTTTTAGTACGGAATAACCTACGGAAAATCTACTGTATTAGGGAAACATGTAGTGATATTTTTGATGAAATAATTGGAAATAAGTTATATTTTGGCACTATCATTATAACATTCAACTACGTGTCTTATTCAGAAAACCGCAGATGCGTATGTATTATTGGAAGAAGAGATTTAGCGGATCGAACACAGTTGAACATTATTCAAAATATCAGTTTGATTATGAGAAACAAAAACATTTTTCATCATAATTCCTGGAATTCAATATATACAGATCTCAACTTGAATAATGCGACGCTTGAGTTTGTCGACTCCTTATCGAAGGCAATAAACTTCACAAAACAAATGGAAGGAAAAAGGAAAAATACAGAAATCATTACTGTAAATTACTGAAGGTTCATGAAATTCATCGATATACATTGCTCTACAACTGAAGTGGATATTTTTATTTTCATTTGAATTGAAGGGGTTATATTTTTTAGGAGTGATTATTTTTTGGGAAAGAAAGTTTTTGGCTTTCTACTACTCCATCTTGATACAAAAAAAGGATGAGGGAATCTTCCAAAGAAAGGAAGGACGTAATCAATTTGAAAATAAGTGACTCCATACATGGATGTGTAGATTGTGCAAAGAAGTAACTTTCAGACACAAACTGAAAGAAAGTCCTCCTGAAACAGCTACTTTCATATAAACATAGAATTACACGAAAGAAAAAAATTCTTTCGAAACAAATACTTCTATATGAACACTGAATTATACAGAAGATACTTTTCTCTACTCAGTTTGTATTTCGAGACAAAAACCAAAAACTTTCTTTCCCAAAAATGATGTACATATTTGGGGACTATATTCCCACATCCTTCATTTGTAGTTGATATCCAAAATAGTTTTGAATATCAACTATAGGATTTATTAAATTATTTCAGACAATTGTTGTTCTTTCTTGGAATTTTTTATTTGACAAAAGTTGTTCGTAAATGAAGCACGATGATTTGGTAGGATAATCATGAATTCCAAAAATAGAGTTATTGATTGATACAATTTTCATGATTATTATGTTTTTGTTTAGTTCCAGTAAGTTACTATATACCTATATTGCTGAGATTCTCAAATGTTTGTTTTTTCATTGATACCATTAAAAAACTCATTGATTTCGACCATTTCAAGAAAAAGTCGTTTGAAAATTTAGATTTCTGTACGTGAAACTTTGATACTAGTGCAATTTGATTCATGTCTTTTTTCTATAGGGTGTTGTGCACATAATTTCTCAAAATATAAAACTCAATGAAAAAGTATGTGCATCAGCACAACATCCTATAGAAACAACACATAAACCAAATTGCACTAATATCAAACTTTTACGTACAGAAATCAATATTTCCAAACGACTCTTTCTTGAAATTAAGAATCTCAGCAACATATATAGTAACCTTCTGAAAATACACCAAAAATATAATATTCATGATGAAATTGAGGATTATCCTATCAAATCATTATGCTTCACTGAAAAATGACATTTTTGTAAAGGTACGACTTTTGTCAAACAAAAAATTTCATACATGTTTACTTCTTTTTACCGATTTATATGTTTGATTCATTATTTCATAAGTATTTTCAGAGTATATTAATGTTATTTTATTCAAAGAAAAAATCCATAACTTAATAAATTGTAAGCTTTCCAGAAGCTTTTCAGTGTGAAACGAAAGTTTGACAAAGGTGCAACAAAGCTTCAAAAATATATTCAACATCAAATATCAAAAACAACTAGATGTACGGTTGGAAAATTCAGAAGGTAATTTTTTTCTGATAAATTCAAATCAACATACATGACTGACACTGAAATATAGAAATTGGAATATCTGTTTCAAATTCAAACGTGTCTATGGAAATTGATAACCTATACTTTATTGAAATTTTTACTGAAACTCTACGAATGATCTCTATAAAAACCCTTAAAATTCTAATTACCACATCGACATATTCAATAGTGAATATAACAGGGCTACAGATAATACAAAGAAAAAATGATAATAAAAGAGATAGACAAAGAATTCAAAAACCTTGAAAAACTACTTTTCACATAGAAATGTGTCTGCAAAACTAATTCAAAAATTATATAATCAGTAAGTAAATTAGCCTTTAAAATTAACTCGACGTCCGCCACAGAACAAGTTACTCAATTAATTCACAATCATCATTTTGAAGCACAATCTTTGACGAAACTTTTGAGGAATTCAAATATTCGATTACAAGATGAAGAATACACAAAAAAACAATGAATGCTCCAGTATCTTCATCAAATTACTTTAGTCAAAATCTTCTGAGAACTATCAAAAATATTTTTTCCATGGAGAACAAATGTAACGTAAGATATTGAGGGTAAAATTGAAAATAATCAAAAACACTTCGTTTTGATTCACCCCGTATTTGAAAAAAGTTTTTGGTCAAATTAGAGTACGGTACAGGAGAGCAAAATATAAATACAAGAAGTAAATAATCGACAACCTATAAAAAAACTCAAAATTATTAAAAAATCTTGATTTTTCCTGACATTGGAATTCTTAAATTTCTAAGGATTCTAAGGGGCCGTATTACGTCGCAATAATCGATAATAAAAATGACGTAAATACAGTACTCATTTATTTTATTTATAGACGACATAATTCACTTCATTTTAAAAAATAGTTGATACCGTCTGGTTTCTTGACCATGCGCAGCTGTCAATATCAATATTTCCTTCTTCGGAATCTCGTCGACATTCCAATGAATTGATATTTTATGTCCTCCTCCACATGTAACATCATGGATGAGGAAGGATGGAACTACGGAAAATTTTTTTCCTTTAACTTTCGTATCGAAGGAAATCGTCTGGTTCAGTACATTTTTGAAATCAATCAAGTTATCATCGAATGTATTTTCCAGGTACTTTCCTAGTATGCGGAATCCTTTAGGGTATACTGAAAAAAATTTTGATTTAAGCTATCGATAAAGGAAATTGTCTAACAATAATTACTATATTTCATCAATCAATATTTCAGATTGATGAGCCAGAACCGAGAAATGAACGATACTAATCAATGTTAATGAGCTTAGATTTTCTGGAAAAGGCACCATCCATTATTTCCACACTAGAATCCACAATGCCGGAAATTACTTTTCGACAACGTCTAGTCAGGCGAATTTTGAAACAGCNAGGGATGAACTATGATGTCTAACAGGCCTTCTTATAGGTCACTGTCATTTGAATCATCACATGCAGAGACTTGGACTGTCGGAAGACAGTGTGTGTCGCCTCTGTCTGGAAAATGATGGAACGGCAGATCATATACTTTGTGCCTGCCCCGCTGGGGACCGAATCAGGTTCTTTGAGTTCGGCAGATCCGTACTCTCACCATCTGACCTGAAAGACCACTCACCATACAAACTAATCGGCTTCATTAAAAAGCTGGGTTTATTTGGCCGAGTGTGAATAGGTGTGAGTCACAATAAACCCTTATGGTTGAATAGACCCACTCACTTTAGACCTACCTACCTACCTACCTACCCATTGTTACAATGTGCCCCGGCCCGGGGCAAAAAGTAACACCATATGGGGTAAGTTGTAACACATCTGTTTTATTTGTTTAAAGAAAAATATGAACATACATTCGACTACAAAAATTATCTCTAAAAAATATAAACGCAAGCACATATTGATGAAACAACATTAGATAACTTGATGTAATAATAATCACTTATTCACTATCAGAATCGCAATTGTGGCAGAAATAAGGAGAGTTTACCTCAGTGCAATCTCCAGGTGACCACATTTTGCACACACTGCACCTAATCCAATGTTCGTTCGGTTTGCTATTGTCAAATGGTTCAGTGCAAACTAAGCAAAAGTACTCGTCTTCAGAAGATGATTCTGATTCCACCAAGACCTTTTTTTTACTTTCTCCACTTTGTGCCTTCATAATTTCTTTCTGCTTTTTAGATTTGCGTTTATTCTATTCTTCTTCTAGGGCATTTTTTCTGGTATGTCAGTTAGAATGGCAGATTTTCATTTTTTTCTTCCCCTATTTGTTTTGTTTCTTTGTTCAGCTTTAGGGAGTGGCCGAACAAACTCTGGAGAGAATGCAGCCTTGTCTTTGAAAGTGCGTTTGAAAGGAGCAGGATAGCATTTAGAACTGGATGCCTGTGAACATTCTTGGGGTAGGCCAGTCGTTGTTACAATTGGTTTCAAATCATCTGTTTGGGAGGATATTGGTGGTGGTAGTAGCAGATGCTCTGTTACAGAAGCAGGTAAGAAGTCATCGTCGCTAAAAATTTCCCGGTTGAAAGGTTCTATGCCAGAAACCTTAAAACCTTTCATCATATTCATAGGAGTAGTTGCCAGTGGTAGTGCATCACGAACCAAGGAAGGGACGTCATAAATTGTCATCGACTTTCCGGCGTTGCCTCGCATCCAGCTATCTTGAGCAGAAGATAAATACTTTTTGAAGGGGCCATATACGCTCCTGTCTAGGGGTTGCAAACGGTGAGAGCAGTGTGGCTGAAAAGACAGCATCACCACCCAATTTTCTTTTGCATAATTTATAGTTTTTATTGCTAAATGGGACTCATGGTTGCCCAATAATAAGAGGACTGGACTATCTTCCGATGGCTTTACGTGAGCAACAAAGTGCTCCATAGATTTAAAAAATTCTTCGGTCGTCATCCGGCCAGAACCATTAGCTGTTCCAATGGACCCTGGGGGACCATCTCTAATAAAATGGTCGTGGAATTTTTTTTCTGGGAAACAGAAACAGAAATCGGATGTAATAATGTCAGGACAGACAATTCCGCTTTCTGCTTCGATGAGTTTGTTAGGGGCGACTTAGGCTCTTGCCGCGGGAGCCATGAGAACGACCCCAACTGCAGCACTTGAGGTCCTACTCGGACTTCCACCATTGCACATCTATATACAAAGAGAAGCTCGACTAGTGACACACAGGCTAATGCAGGGACAAGCCCCAATCAGCCAGTCACAAGGTGCAGAATACTTGAAACTGTTCAATGAACCGAAGGCAGATCCAATACTAGGAATGCCCGTGGATAACACAACTCCGCAGTACAACTTTCAAAAAGATTTCAAAATCATCATACCAAGTAGAGAGAACTGGCCAAAAGGCCCATCGGTAAAAGCGTTAGAAACTTGGTATACACATGGCTCAAAGGCCCAAGAAGGAGTGGGAACCGGTATATATGGAGGTAAAGCAAAGACGAGAATCGCACCCAGCCTCCAGGCAGAAATAGCGGCCATCAAACACTGTTAAAAGGAAATAACAGTGAGAAGGTCACAAATAAAACTACTGCCATTCTCTCCAACAGCCAGGCGGCAATTGAAGCACTCAGCTCATTCCAATTCTTCTCAATACTGGTGAGAAGCTGTCTGAGAGTACTCAAGGAGCTGAGTACACAAGACAGTACACAAGGACAATGAGGAGGCCGATGCTCTAGCCCGTCCAAGGCGCATCCAAGGCTATGATTAGCCCAGAACCCTTCTGCGGGGTAGCAAAAGCATGTATAGAGACATCCATGAACTCATGGATGCAAGCCAAATCGATAGATTGGTGGAATAAGCTCCCAGAAATGCAGGCGAAAGAGTTCATAAAGAAACCATCGCCCAGATTCATGAAAGACCTGCTGAACCACAAACATAAGGTTGCAAGGGTGATGGTGGATCTACTAACGGGGCGTAGCCAACTCAGTTAACATATGAGCAACATTGGTCTGACCGAAGAAACCCAATTCAGGTTCTGTCAAGAAGACGAAGAAACCGTACTGCATGTGCTCTGTGAATGCGAAGCGATAGCGAAGCTGAGACACGCAAGATGCGGAGAAGAAAAACCAGAGGCTGCCAGCTATATGAAGGGGTCGGTGTCAAGGCCATGGCCATGGACAGGAACTCCGAGGACGATATGCGACCAGGACGCTGAGCAGCAACAACACCGATGCCATCGACACGCTCACATCGCCATGGATCCCCCGTGGAGGATCCCGAAGGAAACCTAGGAAAAAGCTCCCCTTTCCCCCAGCCAGACTCCTAGGAGCAATGGAAGACCCACCGGAGCCGATCCAGGACATCCTAGAGGATTTCCCACTGGAATACAGATAGCGGATACCTGACAGCAGCGTCCCAGAAAGAATCGAAATCCTAAACACTCACAACCCCGGCCCAAAAACCCGTACCGAGTCCCAACATCTGGACCACCGACCACCGCAACGAACCCGAACTACCACATGGATCAACATAAAAAACAATGAAGAAAACTGGAACACAAAAACAACACAACACAAACACCAACATAAAACACACCAAACCTACCCACGCTGAAGGGGCATAAGCCTATAGCAGGGTCCTACACAAACACATACACACACAAAAATTGTAAATAACTTTAAAACTTGTAATATAGGATTTTCATTCATTTATTCATTCAAGGCCATGGAGTCTTGTCAAAGAGATCAAGCTAGACAATGAGCTCTAACAACGAAGAAGCATCACAATAGATCTGAACAGGTCGCAGTGAATCAAGCCATGGGCTAGGTATCTGACAATCTAATCTAAACTATTCTAGGGGTTGAAATGGACACCAAAATGTCTTGGCACAATTATGTCGCTGGAATTGCAAAGGCTGCTTCACAAAAGCTTGGAATACTATCCCAAACCAGAAAACTGTACTCACCTCAGCAAGTGTTGATGCTTCACAAAGCTCATATCAGACCTTTTTTGGAATATTGTTCAACATGTATGGAGCTCCGCCCCTAAGCATACTTTGGAGTTGCTGAATTCCATACATAATTGAGCCATTCGTCTGATTAGAGATACAACTATCACTTGCAACCTTAATAGTCTGGAACATCTAATAAAGTTTGTATATATGTCTCTCTTTTATAAATACTTTCACGGGAGGTGCTCAAGTAACTTGGCACATTTAATCCCACCAAGAGCGATACATATCAGAAATACGCTACAGACTGCGGCTGCTCATCGTTTTGAGGTTCGACTCAGTACACCGTGAACTTCACTGTCAAAGAACTCTTTCATTTAGAGAACTGCTTTTATGTGGAATCAACCTCCTGAGCACCTTTTTCAAATGAATTTAATCTCCATCGATTCAAGTTCAACGTAAATCGTTACTTTCGCACAAGCACCGCACTTAGAGCGCTTTAAGAATTCTCCTGTAGTGGCCATGTTTTGTTCTTAATGAAAGTATAGTAGGAAAAAAGTAAAATTGACTGAATCAAAATATTTTAATCATACCTTCCCCAATCAATATCCAATGATGAAAAAAGTTTTCAAAATTACATCCTGAAAGCATATGAGCTCAATATTTTTGTTGTCAATAAATGATTTAGGAATTATTTTGATTACCTAAATGCTCCTCCCAGAACTTATACTCGTTTGAATCTGCACAAACTTCAATCATTTTCCTCAATCCCTCAAGCAGATAATTGTTACGACAGGGAATATCGAAATATATGATCCTTGGACAAAGGTAATTCATCACCCCATTTTTGCACTTGCAATCCCCAAATGAATTCGTGGGAAGAGCAATAACCAGGTCGTCTCTGGTTTTATCCGATAACGTGCAGTCAACCAACAATTTTATGCAAAAAACTCCGACTTCTTTGTTCAAGAAATGTATATAATGCTCATACAGTCCACAAGTGACGAAACATAATTTCAAAGTCAACGTAAATTTTCCTTCATTATCGAAGACACAACAGTCATCAATACAAATTTGCCTGGGTACTTTATCTTTCTTCAGTGAACTGACCGACACAAAATCTTTGAGGCATCTTGACTCGCCTCCTGTTTTGATGTAGAAGTAAGTTTCCGCGATGTAACTTCTGGCGTAGGGAGAACAAATGACCAAGTAATGCGTTACTGGCTTGTACATATCTGTTTTGATACTGAATTCTTCTGTGAAGTGAAAAATGTCTGGGATACCGATCAAGTTAACGGCTTTACTTTTCGCAAATCTGAAACCATCCGTTTCCCCTGATAGGACCAGAACTGCTTTGGATTCCAGGAAACTCTTGGCAGTATACTCCACTTTGATTTTTTTTATTTTCTTAGGATTAACTATCACAGTATTTGAACTAATTTCGAATTCTTCGGATTCGTTCAAGAATAAACTGATTTGGTATGCTATCGGCACAGCTCCACAATTCTTCAGTTCTATTTCATTGGCTGCGGTTTCTCCAAGAGGCGAATTTATAGGTATTGTTTCGGAAGGGTAGAAATTTGGGAGAACCCCATACAAATAAGTTGCAAACATGGTAATCTCTACGCCAATTGGTTCAAATATCCTACGTGGATCCATTGCATAGGAAAGGTTCAATTTAGTGCATGAGTCTGATACTACACATGCATTGTGAAAAAGCAGACTTGTTGAAGTAGGATTGCTGTACGACTCTCTCAGAAAGTCAGATATATACGGGCAATACGCAGAAAGCAAGGTGACGAAAGGTAAACCATCCTTAATGTCTTCTTCTAATGACCTGATCTTACGTGGTTTCATATCGCTTTTCGGCCATAATAATTTCTTCTGGTTGTTGAAGTGAAACTCAAGCCATAACATAAGTTTCGCCTCATTTTCGTTGCAGTTTTGGAAGTAACCTATATTATTATCATAGTATTCAACAAATTCGTTCGCATATATCGAGACTTCTGGTGTCGAACACGGTTTCGGTTTGATGTTCCCAACTTGTAAGGTTCGGTCGAACACAAATACCTTATAAATTCCCAGCAAGAGGTCCACCCAACATTGTTTACTCAGAGAATGGAATTTCTCTTCGGGCAGGAGAGATTCAGATTGACCTATACAGTTATCCTTATCGGTTAAGCGGTTTTTGAAAACAACATATCTTTCGTATGTCAACAAGAGTTCTGGCCTCAGTTGTTGAACGAAAATGTCGTTGATATTGAGGAATTTCATCATATCCTTATAGATTCCGTAATCATATACTGTTCCCTCTAAATCGTTCAGACTTGGTTTGGACACCCTGCAAAATCGAAATCATATATGAGATTTTGGAAGTGGTGGCAAAACTCTGCCGAAGGGATTCATTATTATTACATGTTGGTGGGCTGAAAAAATCGTAGGCCAACACACAGTTGACGGTTAGCTCAAGTCCAATGTGAGTCGGTCTATCCACCGCAACCCGCGTGAGTTTATTGTAGCTCACACGTATCCACACTCGACCAAATGAACCAGCTTCTCAACGAAGCCGATTAGTTTGTATGGTAAGTGGTTCAGGTTAGATTATAAGAGTATGGCTCTGCCGAACTCTAAAAACCTGATTCAATCCCCATCCGAGTGGCACAAAGTCTGTGATCTGCTGTTTCATCATTTTCCAAACAGAGGCGACACACACTGTCTTCCGACAGTCCGAGCCTCTGCGTATAATGATTCGAATGACAGTGACCTGTAAGAAGGTCTACTTCATCTCTACAGTAGTCCAACGACTGTTTGGTATCAAGTTTCGGAGAGTGAAGAGTGAATAAACGCCTTGGAGTGACCCAATCCTGGAAGATTCTGCCAGAAGTCCATAAATCTTCTTGCCATCCAGGAGTTAAATGTTGGTTTGGCAAAGCCTGAAGCGATACCAATGACAGGTTCTGGTTCAATTAGGCTGCTTGCATTACCCTGCTTTGAAAAGGAGTTAGCAGCATCATTGCCTTCCAGGCCATTATGACCGGGAATCCCAGACACAATATGTTAGTCTTCCTATCGAGAAGAGTCGTTTTTGGCGATTTGCTACCAGTTCAGACGTTACTCTGTAGGAGCCAACGCCGCTTGACTGTCGGAGAATATTTTTATTGACTTGTGTATGAGATTCGATTATTCAAATCTCTCCGCACACAATTCAGTAGCGTAAATTTTCGCTTGAAATACAGTCGCATGGGCTCCTAGGCAGGTTGTCCTGGGTCTGCGACTGAGAACACCTGCACCAGAACTGGAAGGTGTTTTTGATCCATCTGTGAACCAACAACTATCTGCTCTTAATATTTCCTTCTTCGTGAGGATCCAGTCCTCTCTACTTGTCAACAGTACTTCATAAGGCTGTTCGTAATTGACAGTTCGTAGTAGACAACAAACAGGCTCTTGCACTTTGCATTAAATTAATTTGTGTAATTGGCAATGTGCCGAAGTCTACATGTAGTCCATCTAGCCTTCCTCTTCAGAAAAATGTGGAAAGGAGGTAGATATTGCAGGATCTTCATGGCCGCTGACGGTGTGGTACTGATCGCACCACAGATGACCAGACAAACCTGTCTCTGTAAGCTAGAGAGCTTCGCCTGGGCCGTTTTCTGTAAAGCCTTCGGCCACCAGACAATTGCACTATAAGTGATCATTGTTCTGACACTGAATTTGTTTGGGACCCTAACACCAAGTTTAACCAGAAATTGTTCGACATGTCCCTAGGGACAGTCTGGCTTTGTATAAAACTTTTGCAAAGTGAGCGTTCCAGGTGAGTTTTACATCAAGGTCAATGCCAAGATATTTCACTTCCGTTCCAAATGAAATCACCACACCATTGAGAAAAAGTGGCTTTAGATCGTCCAATTTTCTCCACCTGGTGAAGGGGATTATCACAGGTTGACAGGCATCTGCTCCTTCAGGCACCAACTTTAAACAACGTCCACCGTGCTTTGGAGGATATTACAATCTATCCTTTACGGCGTGGACCTTACCAAGATGAAAAGGTCATCTGCATAAGCTTGCAGATCTACTTTTTTTCTGTCGAGGGCATCAAGCAGACTATCCATCAGTAGCGAGGAAGAGGAAGTTTCCCCTTCTGTGGTCAATAAATACATTTGAAATGTGTATTCCATATGAATAAATTCCAAATGAAAGTTGTCTATAATTCGGAGAAAATGGACCATGAATTTATTTTTCCTATAACAGTGACACACTCCCTGATGACAGCCCTGTTTCATTTTTGTTTGATCTTCCTGTATAATTATAGTAAATTCATAGTGAACACTTACCCATATCTGAAATAATTAAGTACAGAATCATCAAGCAAATTGATCAAAAGTTGAACCAACGGCAGATTTTCTGATATCTTTTTGGTCTTTTCATCTTTAACAGACCTAGTTTTTCCTTTCTCCCTATAAATTCCGAATGGATACATCGATATACCATCAGGTATCTTGAAGAAATCGGTATAGAAAAACCCTTGGCTGTAAAGAAACTTTTCAACGATGGCCACAATGGCATCCATCCCTTCCAAAAAGCCTTCATTAGTGGTGTCAAAAGGGTAATAAGGGAAACTTTCATTCTTCTCCTGGAATTTCTCTTCTAGATAAAAGTTGTAGCACAACAGTCTACAGTTCTTAGCAGCACATTTAACCAGCAATTCCAACGATGTACCACACGTGCAACTGACTTTTATCTCTGAAGATACCGTGCATTCACTTTGAGGCCTGAACGTTACGCACATGAACAGCTCTGACTCGTCTTCAGACACAGTGGGTCTCTCTTCGAATATCGATGTCAAATCGGGATGAGTTATCTCAGAAACTATTGAACAATCTCCTTTATGATTCAGCAGTTGAAAACGTACCCCTTTGGAGATGCATTCTTCAGCAGGAATCGTTTGCAGGTATAATACTTTTGACTCGCAGAGGAATTTGGGTTCAGGATAAGTTCCCGAGAGCCTTAGAAAATTGGACGGACCATTCTTGATGGCTTCAATACCAAATGGCAGATATAGATCGGATTGTCCATACTCGGTTGGTTCGTAATTGACTACCCAATCGACTTTTTCATTTGGCCCTAATTCTACTTGATGATACTTGCTACTTAGTGAGGAACTTCTGTCACATTTCTCAACTGCAATACTGAACGGTTTCACCACCTCCGCCACTGATAAAACCAAAACATGCACAGAATTTGACACGTTCGTAACTTCGAAGTGACTCTGACAAATTTCTTGTCGGTAAACAAATGTCAAATCCAGAGTCGAAAACGTGAAGAGGGCTTCTCCAGCTGCACATCTCACTCTGACTAGAGGTACGGTGTTAGGGCATTCAGGAGAAATCTGCAGCCCTTCAACCTCACTGAAATAATGACGGGGGTCCAAACTTCTAGGGTCATTCAAGACAGGAGGTCCAATAAGACCATTCAGAATATACGGGAAGAATAATGAATAAGCTGTCGGTTCGTGGGGCTTGAATTCCAAATAGAGGTCTTTCGATTCGTTGGGCTCAAGTTCAATCCCCGATTCAATGGGTCGCCTATCGATGTCGGTGACGGAAAACTCGGGAAAATTCAGGAAGAAGAACGAAATCGAGTTTTTCGTGACGCCAGCGTTGGTAACCTTGAAGATACGTCTGTGTATTGCCCCTGTTTCTATTTTACGTATCTGTATGAACTTTGGTTCGATGGAAAACTTCGGGTAACAGATATTTCCGGTGACTTCGACTCTATGGATATATTCGTCCTGAATCCTGAAGACCAGAGCACATCCGAAATTACCTACGGCTTTGAATTTAACGGACACTCTGAAGATAATATTGGAATGTGCTCCCAAAGTACCTTCTGTTGGATGGACTTTCACACCTTTCATCAGATTGGGGTTCGTTAAATTCACTATAACAGCTTCTTCGGAAAAATTTTTCAGTATCAGTTTTCTCGTCACCACAGAATTCAACGGTATATCACCAAAATCGAGATTCTGAGTGTGGAATAGAACCTCAGCTTTTTTATTTTCGTTAACAACTTTGATGATTTCCTTGGCCCCACTTTGAGATAGGAGGTAAATTTCGGTTGTGAAAATAGCGTCCATTTGAGGAGCGAACTTGATTTCACAAATCAGTTTCCTTCTTGGTGGAACATCGCCAAAGAGCGGCTCGATTTTATAGTTTGCATCCTGAATTTCCCAATTGAAGTCGATGTTGCAGTTGACAGGGTTGAGCATTTCGAAGAAAGCTGAATGACTTCGCGGGCATATAATTATTTCTTTCTGGGAACTTTTCACGGTGGTAGGAACTACTTCGGCAAAAACTGTGGCATCGAATATGTGGCAGTCATTCACTATTATATAAACCGGAACATAGTATTTGCCAAGCCCATGCGAGTAGCAGTCAAAATAAATGTTCTCTGTCTTGTGAGCTACAATGGTTTTCCGTCTTTTGCCTTTTATGACTACCGAGTTGCTGAGAGCCCTTATTGATATATTTATGGGAAACTCGTTCTTGTTCTCAATAGCAAAGTAATCGGAACAAGACGTAAAGGGAGCTATCTGAAAAATAAAATTATTTTACTAACATTTTGTGATTTATTCAGTGAACAGGTTCAATTAGGGTTCCCACCTCTCCTGGAATTCCAAAAGTCTCCCAGATTTAAGCTCTGAAAATTAAAATCTCCCGGCTCCCGGAAGGAATTTAAAATATACAAAATTCTCCCGAAATAACAAGTTGTGCGAAAGTAACGATGAAAACTCTTTGCCGTTATGCTATGCTATTGTTACTTTTTCGAAATAAAATAAAAAGTTATGATAATCAATGTTTTTTTTCTCCCGGATTTGGACAGCTGAGAGGTGGTAACTTTAGGTTCAATACTCTGAAAATAATGATAAGAGCTCAAGTATATATTAAGGAAAGTAGTTTTTGGGAAAGAACGATTTTATCTTTCCACTCAATTGTAATATCTTGAATGAATTGAATGCCTCGTTTGGCAGTAATAAGGTATCAAAATTGGTGCTGAAGAGGCAATGAGACAAGTGTCTCATTTCGAAACATCGGATGTCTGCCATTGAGGATGACAGTGTTCCATGTAAGTGGAATCTTATCCCTTCATAACACATGGGCTGAATAGTCCTGGGCCTAAGAAAGAAAACGCGTTTTTTTTATTCAAATTGGCTTCATTCATCAACGAAATCTCCGTCAAGAGGTCTCCGTCAAAATTTGTACTAGTTTAAATGACACTTGATTTAAAATGTTAAATGAATTAATTTGTTTGATGAAAAGTTGCGAAATTTTTGTAAGTAAATGTTTGTCATATATACTTTTTTCGTAACTATCGAATAACTTACTACAATTTCTGTGAAACATGAATAAAATTGTTTGTTGATAATTATAGTTACATGAATTAAAACGATAGTTGATGATTTTAATTCGGCGCTAGCGTCGAGCGGATTCTTGCAGAAGCTGAATTTTTAAATCTGGCAACATGATAGTCTAGTGATGGTAAAACAATATTCCGTCCGACCACAGCGCAGAATAAAAATTATCAACAATCAATTTAATTCATGTTTCACCTAAAAGCAACAATCAAAACAATTCATTTTTAGAAAATACCAATAGAAAGTAAAACGGCGTCGTACACCTTTTTAATTTCGATTAGTGTTTTGTGAAATTGAATTGTTTTGATTGTTACATTTAGGTGATACATTAATTAAATTGAATGTTGATAATTTTTATTCGGCGCCACGGTTGAACGGCGTTTTGACGTACTATAAATGAACTAGCATGTTGCCATATGTAACACTTGAAGTTCTTGATAAATCCGCTCGATACCAGCGCCGAATTAAAATTATCAACAATCGTTTTAAATGTATCTTTCAATTACAACAAACTTTTTGAAATCATCAAAAAATTTAATTCTCTGTCAGAAATTAACTTTTCAAAAAGATTGATGAAATGAAATTATACTTGCTTGAGAATGTTTTGCACAAAAGTTGTAACCAAATTTTAAATTGAATGCATTAAAGTGAATGTTGAAAGTATTCAACACTTTCAATTAAATTGAAATACAACAATCTTTATTATTCATAGGAAAATATTTAGTATGGAAAGTAGATTTGCCATATTTTCGGACAAACGAAAGTCTATTTTTATCACCAACAATGTTTCATGAAAAAACTTTGACAGTCAATAAAATGTATTCATTGAAATTGTTAGCTGACATTGAAATGTCAGCTAACTCGGCAACATTTTTTATTTCGATGGAGATGAAAATTAAGTAAAAATAATTGTCAGGTGGGGTTATATCTGAGAAGAGAAAAGTGGAGATGTTTTTCCAAAACCAATTTTTGAGGCATCTACAAAAATTCGGGTGAATACAATTATTTTTGATAAAATAAGACTCTCCTGCTTCTCATGCTCAATTATCCGGTAATTTTTCTTCAAATTTTTTTATTCTCCATGAAACATTCCTAATTCGAGAGTTTTTCAATCATTAAATTTCTCATGAACTGTATTTCCCATTCTTTCGAAATTTTTCGTAGTATTCATATGAATTCTCTGAACAAAATTTTTTCCATAACCTTCTTATCATTACGAAGTACTTATCCAAAACATAAATATTTCCGTCGAAAGGACAGAATACCCACAAATTTGATAATCATTCTGAAATGTATTTTTAATTAGCATGAATGAAGAACAAGTTCAGTTTGAAATCGATTATGGAATACAATTATGATTTCATTACATAAGTATCACTTCAAATTTTGCCCATATACGAGACTTCATTTTTTCACTCTCGAAGAGTTTTTGAACTGCATAGACAATGAAAATTATGTTTTGTTTTAATATCACCAAAAACTATTTTCTATTCCTGCTTGAGGAAGCAATTGTATAGCGAAACACGTATCGCGGTTTTGTGAACTTTCATGAAAAAAATCTTATAACAAACTGTCTGAATGAGTAATAAAAACAAATCAGTTTGTTGAAATGATAATCATCTAAAAGTATGTATATTAAGTATATAAGCATATTGATTCGAGATGATTGAGATCATTGATCATGGATTTGAATTTTTCATATCTCATTCCATGAACTTCGCCTTCTCAATCGAAAGGTAAGGCGTGAATTCAGTTGAAAATAGAAGAGTAATAAGGCAAAAGAGAACCCACAAAACTGTACGTTCGGATTTTTTATTGAAAATTCCATTTCAACGAAATTACTTTTGTTACGTTTGGGAACAAGAGCCTGCATATATCTCTCAAATATATCTCAAATAGTTACAGACAGCGCCAAAAATTTTGAACCCATTCGTAAATTGTAAAACAGAACATTTATCAGAGATTGGAGAGAGCCAAGGCGACAAGAAAGACTATCTTTTGCCAGAGAAGTCGCTCCATACCAAGGGATCTCAGTAATGTTCCCATTCCAGACCCTATAACTGGAAAAAGATACGTTGATAACATCATTGAAGCCATTATTTATCCTGTCCGAAAAGAAATTGAAGGCAATTTCATCTTTATGGATAACAATGCTAGGCCTCATCAAACTAGAAGACTTCAAACTGCACTAGAGATTGAGAATATTCGAAGATTACGTGGTCACCTAATTCACCAGACATGAATCCCATCGAGCACTTGTAGGGTTTCGTTCAACGAGCAATTTCAAACAGAAATAATCCTCCTGTCATCTTTCAGGAACTCACACCCAAGAAGAATGGAACATCCCCATAAATACGATTAACGCCTAATATGATTTCATTATTGATTTCGCTCTGGAGCGGGTTTCTTCTAGATTTCAGATTCTGGTAATCATTTTATTATGCAGTATTCATCGATTGTTTTTTTTCCTTGGTAACTTAAATTTATTTATTTACTCATTTCATACACTATTCTACAGGATGAACCCATTTACAGGATAGGGAGTAGCAGTGGCATTTACAAATATGTACTGACATAATATAATTTGTAAATCTATTAAAAAAACAGAACTGTCAGTCAGCTAAGAAATGTCTTTCGATTTGTTTAATCTGGCACCTAGATCAGTGAATATTTCAGGACGCTTTAGAACTTGATTGTTTATGACAAAGTTGTATAAATTCAAGTTTGTTTTCAGTGAGTAAAACATTACATTACATTTGGATATGTTGAGAGATAGATTATTCTTCCGACACCATGTAGCAACGCGATTTAAATTCAAGGCGAGACGTTCGCAATCATTAAACATATTATATTGTGATAGAGATTCAAGTCATCTGCGTATAAAAGGAAATTGACATCAATCTCAGCTCCGATATCATTAATGAACATATTGAACAGTAGGGGTCCTAGATTTGATCCTTGTGGTACACCAAATGTGGCTATATATTCGATAGACTTGAGGCCATTGAGCTGGACGTACTGCTCATGGTTGTAAAAAAAACATATGAACCGGTTAATTATTTCATTGGATAACCCAAAAGTCGAAAGCTTGTTGAGCAGGATACTATGGTCAAGTCTGTCGAACGCTTTAGAAAAATCAGTGTAGATGACATTAGCCTGAGACGGACAATCAATACCCTCTGCAATACATTGAGTGATTGTTACAAGATTGGTGGTGGTTGAACGTCCTTTCATGAAACTGCGTTGATTGGCGCTAATAATGTTGCTGACATGACAATAGATTGTCTTCTCAAGGAGCATCTCAAACACTTTACAAAAGTTGCATATGATAGAGATTGGTCTGTAATTTTTTATCTCACTTTCATGTCATTTTTTGAAAATTGGGCAGACTTTTGACATTTTCCATACTGATGGTACATCATGAATGGTACATGATGAATGCTGGAATGTGATCAGGTCCCGCAGTAAATTAAGACTTTCATTTTTTTAGGGTATGATAAACATTTTCAATACTAAAGTTTTTGGTTACTAAGCTGGGAATATCACTACAGTTGTTCGCATGGTCACTTGATGTTGACACTATATAAGAACCACTGAAGAAATCTGCAAAACCATCAAGAATATCTGAGGGATTGTCGAGTAGCTTGCCTTCATGTAACATTTTATCTCCGATTCCCTTCGTATATTATGACTTGTTAATGAATAACCAAAACTTATTGGGGTTATGGATAAATTCGCTCTCAGTTTTCTGAATGATTATTTTATAAGCTATTCTAATGGCTGCTTTGATTTCTGCCCGAAGACGTTTAAATTCGTGAAAAGCGTGAATGTCGCCGTTTCTTTTGTCTTTACACCAAAATGTTGTTTTAGTTTGAATTTTCTTTATCAATGTACCATCAAAGTAGACTGGATAATTATTTTTAGATTTTATCGAGAATTTTGGCACGCAGCGATCAAATACATTGTATAATTTTTCATGAAAGTGAAGACAGGCATCATCTGCATTGCGAAATGCAGATGTATAGGGTCTGTCATTAACGCTTCTTATTTTTGAATTCGAATAAAAAAAAGTGTATGAGAGATATCGTCGAAATTTTTCATTCGTTTGAAAGATGACGTTGATGCTATTATGTCCGCCAGGGCTTCTCTGGGTGAAGTGCATCCGAAACGTCCAATTTTCCATGCATGAATCAGGCTGAATTTGACCGATGGCATGGGTGTTGTTGGCTTTGAGGACCGCTGCGGTTTGTGGCTCATTCGCATATACCTGCGACTTAAGGCAGCTCTACGAGAAAAAATTTAACGGGGTCAAATCGCACGATCTCGGTGGCCAGTTCCCTCCACATGAAATGACGATGCCTTCAAATCGCAGAATATCCTATGCGGCATGAGCTGTATGGCATGTAGCGTCGTCCTGTTGATAACACATGTCGTTGGTGTCCAGATCATCCAATTAAGGCCAAAAAAAGTTGATAAACATCGATGTATAGTGCTCGTCGTTGACAATAATGGCCTGGCCAACGTCGTTCTCGAAAAAATATGGACCCTAACGCCGTCAGCCCAAAATCCACAGCAAACAGTGACTTTTGGAATGCATTGGACGCTCTTGGATCTCGTGTGCATTGATATCGTAGCAAATTGAGACCCAGAATGAGACCCAGAAATGGGTCTCATCGCTGAAGAAGCACGAATACACGTCGTTGTCAATGGTCGTTTACCTTCAGTTCCTGGGTCAGTTGAATTTTTTGGGGGTGCAGGCTCAAGTCACGAGGCAAAATTCCCTAATTTGTGGTCTGCGAAAAGCCAAGTTCTTGTGAGCGACGCGAGATCGACTGTTCGGATTTTTCTGCACACTCTCACGGCGATGTTTTCGGCAGATCTTGCATGTTCGTTTGATCTACGGGTGTTGGTCGATTGTTCACCGAACGATCCACCACATCGCGGATATTCTCCTCGGTAATATGATTATGGCGCCCGTAATTAGGCGAAGCGCGCGCTACGTTGCTCGAACAGGACACCCATTTTGTAAAACAATTTCATTATTAGCACGGGTTGTTTGGTAAAACATGCTGAATGAATGACAAGTAATTTGACACATGTAGCTTCGACAAAATGACCGTTGTCAATTGTCAAAATTCGGAAGTTCCTATTGGAAGACCTTATACTTCGTAAAACACATTTCGACTTACAATAATAGTGTCTTATTTAGACAAACAAAAAGGGGTCCAAGAATTTTGGCGATGTGTTCATTTACAAATGTGAGCTCATTATCAAAAAAAGTAATTTTGATTCTCTTTTATTTTGAGTCTTTGTATATTTGTTACTTTTATAGGGAAAGAAATATACCAGAACTAAAAGTAATACCTTTCCCAACTGGATGTATCTTGGCGTTATCTGAATATTTAATAATTCTTCTGGTGGCATCGGTATAAACAGAGAAACACGTTCATCTCTGAAATCAAGTTTGGAGCAAGTATTATACACCCATTTTCTCTTCATCAATAATGAATTTTTGTTGGAGTTATCATAATCTTTCGGTCCTACACCAGGTGATTCACTTGTTTCTGTTTTCGTGTGTGTCGATCGCAAATACTCTAAATAATATGACTTCTCATTTTGCTTCTTCTCCAACTCAGCTTTTGATAAAATATATTTGTCTTGAGTATTCACATATCGTGGAATATTGGCGAATATTGTAGTACACCTGTAAGTAACTCGTATTTGTTTAAACTTGTAACTACCCGAAAAATCAAGAGAAACCTTTCTCATTACTTACGGAACGTCACATCGCCATGGTCGTAAACTACCCGCCCTATCATTCGGAAAAGCTATCAAATTAGCATTATTTTTGTTGAAACGTTCAAAATCCTCATCCACAATTGCTTTGATGGGCTTTTTGATCGTGGAATTGTACCTTGTATCGTCGACCAAGAACCCAACTTCATTTGCATTAGCTGGAGTGATTCCCAAATTGAATTTGGGCTTGATCATCGACCTAGATAACGTTGGGTTTGAGGAGGTAGAGTAGCGTAGGAAAATGAAAGATTTCCCGACTTCATAAGAAACGTTGTCGCATCGGTAGAGCAATTGCAACATAATTTTCTGTTCCACCACACCAATCCTTGTAGGTCTAATCACAATCGAAACGTCGATATTTCCGTTGGGATTCAACGTCGGTTCCTCTGGCTCTAATTCGATGCAAGCAATTTTGTCGTATTTGAAACTAATTGGCAAGCTCATCGATTTATTTCTTATGTTGAATGTTCGAATACATGTTTCTCCCTCTAGGAGGTGAGCTATATCGATGGCATTTGGCGTGAGCTCTACTGCTGCTTCTTCTATTTCTCCGTAGAGACAAACCCTGAGGAAGCCATTGGACATTTCCAGTTCTTCTGTATCAAAACTACCGACTTCGTGCAAAGAGGCGATTGAGTATTGGTCTAAAATGTAACAATTCATAAAACAAGCGAAACTCATAATGGAAACTAGTCGGAATTATTATTTACCTAACTCTGCAGAGCTAGCAAACGTCTTCACTTCAATGTCTTTATCTGAAAGTGAAGAAAAATATAAACTATGTGCAATGCATCTTCAATTCGTTTTTTGAGTAATGTTCGACGTCAATTTTGTTTCATTGAATGTCTCATAACTACCTATCCATGTTGATTTTATTCACAAAACTTCATATATACAGTGTTTTTCTTTAATGCCCCCCTTTTATTTTTTCTACTCAAAAAAATGAAATTTGAGATAATGAAATTAATGCATGAATACTTTATTTTGAAGTGAAATTGACAGATGAAAATTTCAAGATGGCGACTGGGCGCCATCTGGGAAAACAATTAAAAGGAAAAGGGGGTCTTGTGACACATCATTTTGAAGCTCCAAACGAATATTTCGCAACCCTAGTTCATATTCAATTTTCTTCATCTATTACGAAATGACGGAACATTTAATGATTTCCTGAAGACAAACACATTAATATCGATATTTCTAGAAATATTCCTTTTTATCTGTCATATGGCAATTCTAATAACCCGGTAAGGTGTGTTACGCTATTTTTTGACGAAAAATATCATTACGACAATGAATGAATGAGTTCAGTTAGAATATTCTCATTTAGTTTTCGGTTTTACAAGTAGAAAGGTACCAAGTCAACAGTCTTTAAAATGGTCAATTCTCATCCATTGGAAGCGATTTTTATTTACGGTGCGACGCGTAACTTTCAGGAGACATTTTCAATGAACACAATGGATCACCACCACATTACTCCAGACAAGTAAGAAACTATTTGGATACTACTCCTCCCGGTCCTTGGATTGGCCGTCGAGGTCCTACAGAATGACCAGCCCGCTCGCCAAATTTGACACCTTTGGACTTTTTTATGAGGCTATTTGAAGCAAAAGGTGTACAAAACTTAATCTGCTTCAATACTGGATATACGGCAGAGAATAATAAATATTTGTAGAGATATTGACGTCACTGTGTTCGAAAATATTCGGCGTGAAATATCGCATCGGCTGTTCATATGTCAAGAAGTTCAAGGCAACCATTTCGAGAAAGTTCTGAACTGACCTCAAGCTTATTACGTCATATAATGTAGTTAAATGTCGATGTATTCAGGCAATTATTGAAAATTCCGCTATTTTGTAGTAGTTGAATATATTGACATTATATTGTGAAGTTGTATTGTGGGTTGTGGAGTATTTGTCAACAGCTTAAAAAAGATGTGTCACAACAGCCCCCCTTTTTATTTAATTTTCTTCCTAGATGGTGTCCAGTAGCCATCTTGAAAGTTTCATCTGTCAATTCAATTTGAAAATAAAGTATTGATGCTTTAATTGCATTATGCCAAATTTCAATTTTTCGAGTTGACCCATTCAAAAACTAAAAGGGGGGGCATTAAAGAAATGCACTGTATGTCAGTATATCATGTTTGACGATGTTTCACGAATAGATCAGATGAAAATACACAACCAATAAACAAAGTTATACCAACCATCAATAAGGCCATCCCTATAGTTCACCTTCAGTATTCGAATAAACGCCATGCAATAATTCTGTGAAAACTTTTTTAATTTCTGTGGAATGAATCTGAAAAAAATACATGAGAAGATAAGACATTTTGTTATGAATATTTCACAAAAATATAATGTAATATTTGAATCAACAATATCAACTTGTTACTTTGCTATTAGATATTTTATGTTTATTTTCCCCTCTTAAATATTACTTTATGAATATCGCTTGATTCTGCATTTTTTGAAATTCAAGTACTGTATTTGGATACGTAAAATACTTGAAGTGAAGGTACTTTGACATCAAAGGACCAGAACCAGGAATTCAACACCTCAACTTTGAATTATTACTGGTAGTTAGTACTGGAAATAACACGTTCAGCCTATTCCCAGAAAAGGCAAGAAAAATCTTTCAAATAACTATAGACCAGTCGCTTTGCTATGAGCGATATCAAAAATAATAAAGAAAGTCGTAAACCACGATATCCTCAAATATTTGGAAGGCTTCAACATCTTGAGCGACCATCAATGTGACTTTCGGAAACAAAGATCAACAAGCGACCTTCTATCGTATGTCATCCATATTCGGAATAACGCAATCGGGAAACATGGAGAATCAAGAGCTGTTGCGCTTGATATTTCTGAAGCCTCTGACCGTGTGTGGTATTAGATTTTTCTGGCCAAACTTCGATGCTGTGGCTTGTTGTATTATTTCTGTGTATGGCTCTTCACCTTCCTGGAAGAACATTCCCTGCAAGTGGCCGTCGATGGATATCTCTCGAAAACTTTCACCATCAACGCTAGTGTTCCTCAGGGGTTCATATTGTCTCCAACCCTGTTTTCATCGGATATCAACGGCTTAGTGAAGAAAACCAAGAATCCAATATATTGTTTCTCTGACGACGGCACACTTATCTCGTTATTTCACTTGGATTCCAGAACAGTGACTACGGAGTCACATCTTCAACGGCAGCAGGAGGTTGCATATCTTAATGAGGATCTAGAAGTGATTTCGAACTTGTGTGAAAATTCAATTCAATGCCACAAAAAAGATAAATGTCTTTGAACCGGATATAATAATATCAGGTCAGACAATTCCGCTTTCTGCTTTGATAAGTTTGTTGAGGGTTGAAATGGACACCAATATGTCTTGGCACAATCATGTAGCTGGAATTGCAAAGGCTGCTTCTCAAAAGGTTAGAACACTGTTCCGAAGCAGAAAACTGTACACACCTCAGCAACTTTTGCTGCTTATAAAGCTCAGAGTGTTGTTCAAGTATTGTTCTATGTATGGACCTTTGCCCTAAACACACCCTGAAGTTGCTGAATTCCATCCAGAAAAGAACCTGATTGGAGGCACGAACATCACGTGCAACCTTGATAGCCTGGAACATCAAAAAAAGGTTGGAGATTTGTCTCTCTTCTAAAGATACTTTCACGGGAAGTGTTCAAGTGACTTGGCACATTCGATTACACCAAGAACGGTACATATCAGAAATACGCGAAGGACTGTGGCTGCTCATCGTTTTAAGGCTCAACTCAGTACACCTCAAACTTCACTATTTGAGAACTCTTTCATCTGGAGAACTGCGTTTATGTCGAATAAACTTCCTGAGAACGTTTTCCCACACGAATGTTTGATAAACTGCGATATCTATTCCACTATAGACCACGTTCTTTCAATGCCTTGAGAAGCTCTTGTATACTTCAACACATGTGGTTTCGTAAAATTTTTGCAAAAATTTCACACAAGTTATTGGAAAAATGCCCAGTGTACAGCTTGGCAAATCTAGCTATGCTCTAATATTCGATGCGCAGTAAATCAGCCGGCGAAGTGGGGCAAGAGCTCTTCAGCATCGAGAAACTCGTGTAGAAAACATCGTGTTTATACAATTAGTGGAGAAATCATTATGTGTAATAATCTTCAAGTTATTTGCTGTCTCTGAAAATGCATTCCAAATATAAACTGAAAAACCAAGTTCTCAGGGGACAAAGCAGATAAATTGTGAACAACGTTTTAACTTTCATGCAAACGAAAGTGACGACAGATGTAATAGTAATTCCTCTTGCGAAGGTAAGAATTAATAGAAATTATAGGTGAAACTGTGACCAACATAGCATTTTAACTTTGAAGATTCAAAAACGAGAAAATTTCAAAACTGTGATTTGGCAATTTTACGCAGATGCATAATTGATTCCAATATAAAAGAGAAACGAGTTCCTACACTAAGGGACATTCATGAAACTATTTACCGAAATATTGACTATCAGGGTAGCTTCAAGGTTGAAGTGATCACATCATGAATGGAGATAGTAATCTATCTGGAATCGAACCATTCATTTGCTTCTGCTCATAAGAGATGATGTATTTCAACAAAGTCTAAAACGTCTGTCTCAATACATAATTTGCAGCGCGTTCATTTTATATACTCGGGCTAAGAGATATTACTAACAACCGCAGTTACTCATTTTGATAAAAGTATGGAAACCTCATCATTAGATACTTTTGTATCTATAATAAATATGAACGTCATTGACTTACGAGACTCCCAAAATGTATTTGTGCTTTGCTGACAATCTGCCTTCTCTCGGTGTTATACAAAAACATTTCAAATTGTCGTCAGTCTTTCTGGCTTCCTCAAGAAACTGAAAAAGAATGAAACCGTTATGAGGATGTATTGATGGTTCGTTTGGGTTCTTCTTGGGGATACAGGAATATTGTGCATGAATAATAGGAATGAAAACATTAAAAAATGTAATTTATTATTTTGTAAAATGTTAATTTATTTAAGCTGGACTGAATCTCTACTGATAATTGTTCTTTGTACTCGAGGACATTTGAGAATTCCAATATCCAAAAGAGTTTTCGAAAATTTCATCGAAAAACATCGTCTGTATTTAGTATCCTCGAGCAACCCATAATTAGCGATTTATTAAGCGTTCTTTTCGCAGCTATTCAGTTCAAAAGTTAAAAATATATTTTGTTGCACAGAGCATTGAAACTTCTTTTAGTGAACATGAAGAGCGAGGTCGATAGCATCGATAGCACCATCATCAATCCCTACTGTAATAGGGATAATGGAATAGAAAGACTCTGAAGTCTGCGCTTGATATTTCTGAGGCCTATGACCGTGTGTGGCATGAAGGTTTGCTGGCTAAACTTTGATGCTATGCCTTGTCGGATCATTTTTGTGTATGGCTTACCAGCTTTCTGAAATAACGTTTCCTGCAAGTGACCGTTGATGGATATCTTTTGAATACTTTCACCATCAACGCTGGTGTTCTCCAGGGATCCATACTGTCTCTTTTTATTGTACATCAACGACTTATTGAAAAAAAAACAAGAAACCAGTATATTCCTTTGCTGACGACAGCATGCTTGTCTCTTCCCGAAGGTGACATCAAAACTAGTCTGGGGATGCCATGAAGAACTGAAAGAACTTGCAAACAGGAACAAATTAACTTTGTACTGGGTGCCAGGGCATTCAGGAATCACAAGTAATGATAAAGCTGATGAATGCGCTAGACGCGGATCAACAACTTCATATATAGGTCCTGAACCAGCTCTGGGGGTACCAAAATCATTGGTACGAAACCAGATTAGGACATGGACCAATAAGAAGCACACAAAGTACTGGACAAAAGTACCTGGCAACAAACACAGTAGAACCTTCATTAAGGAACCGTCCGAGAAAAGAACCGAAGAACTACTTCAATATAGTGGGAATCGGCTCAGAATAATTACAAGGTTACTAACCGGTCATTTTCCGCTTAGAGAATACCTGAATAAAATGGGGCTATGCAAAGGAAACCTCAGCTGAAGATTATGCAATGAAACAGCTCTACACATCTTATGCGAATGTGAGGCACTGAATTACAACAGGCAGGCAATATATGAACGTACAAAATAAAGTCCAGAAGAATATGACGAACATCCAACACGGAACCTGTACAAACTAGTACAGGGAACGAGACTGATGGAATGTGTGTCATGAGAAGATGGGAGAATAAACGCAATAAGCCCAAGAGGCTGCAGTGTTTCCTGGAGATTTGGACTAAATGTACAAGTCAGACAGCTTCCAAGGTACAAAAAAAAAGAAAATTGTTCTCATGTATGTAGTTCCGCTCTGGATTCCATTCAGAAAAGAGCCATTCGCCTGATTAGAGACATGAACATCACTTGTAACTTTGATAGTCTGGAACATCAAAGAAATGTTGGAGATTTGTGTCTCTAATAGATACGTTTACAGGAGGTATTCAAGTGAGTTGGCACATATCAGAAATACGCGACGGACTGTTGCTTGCTCATCGTTCAACTAAGTACACCTCGAACTTCATTGTTCAAGAAATCTTTCGTATAAAAAACTGCGTTTATGTGGAATAAACTTTCTGAGAACGTTTTCCCTAATGAATTCAATCTCCAGCCATTCAAATTCAATGTGAATCGCTACTTTCGCACAGGTACCGCTCTTAGAGCGCCCTAAGGATTTGTCTGTAGTGCTTGTGTTTTTTCCTTAAGAAAAAGATTGATGATCGATTTGAAATAATAAATTAACAAATTCCTATAGTCATTTTTGATTCCGTTCAATGTAAGTTGTTAAAAATCCTTCCGGGTACTTCATAAATTCTGTATACACCAATTTTGCAAAATACTTACAACATATTCCCTAAGTTGTTCTGCCAACGTACAGAACATACTAGCCGTAGAACTGTTGTTTTCAATAACCAGAGTTCTCTTGCTTTGTGCTCCGTAATACGTTTTTGGAAAATCTATCAGAGTCAGATCGAAAATGGGAAGTGGGTGTTCAATTACCAGAGCAGCCCGTATAAACGTCCCTGTGATCCACACTCGTTGAGGGGGCTCTGTTTTGATCCAAAACTCTTTCAAAAATGTTCCTTCTTGAGTTCCCAAAATTTCTACTCTGATTTCAATGGTTTCTGATGGCTGGAACATTATTGAGAAAAGTGAATCCTCTTTTTGGAAAATAAAATCATTCAAAACCCAGATCAAATAATGTGAATTGGATCTTGAGTTTTATTACAACCTCTGAGAATCGTTGCGTTGAGTAAGAATTCTGCATTTGAATGAAAAAGTAGAGAATGCAATTTCCGTTCACATTTATAATGATAATAGTGGATGATAATTACATTATTATGCGTGTTTTTTCATCAAATATTGAATTGTAATGTCGTTATGTAAACGTGTGATTAGAGTGGACGATTGTAATGATAATGAGCCTCGTTGGAGCTGATAAACAAAGGCAGTGGACCGTTTTTCAATCAGTATTCATTACAATAACAGATAATTTATATCATTACAAGACTGTTCTCTATAGCTTATTTGTCGCAATAAATAGTGCTGTGTGGATGAAGAGCTCAGGAAAACAGCATGTCTTGGATGGATCGTCACGGCTGTATTACTATTCAATCCAATGATATCCGTATTTAGTATTGGGTCTACATGTCCATTATAACGGACATGGTTTTTTTTCTTGAAGAAATGTAAAAACAAATAAAAAAACCTGTTTTGATTCAACCAAAAATGAACACAAGTCAAGAAATCCAAATCGAACCCTGTATATTTTTCAGAATGTTTATTAGAATGGGGATTTTCTTGTCCTTAAAAAAATTCTCTTTTCAACGACATAAACAAGTGGTCACTTTCTTTCAAAAAGGCGTCTTGGGAGTAATTTTCTCTAAATTCAATTTTACAGCACTATGACGTCACACGAAACTCGTTCTTCAACACTCAACAAACGAAACCTACATTCTAACTACTTACACCTGCTCCCATCGTCAAAGTTCACCAAATGGTGCAAGACGACCGCCGAATTGAAGTGAGAGAGATAGCAGAAGTTATGAACAAGTCTAAACAATCAAAACAACGTGTTTGTCATAAGTCATATATCCGCCTCACTCACCATATCTAGCCCCAAGCGACTTTTTTTTATTCCCTCATCTAAAAACTGCGCTCGGAGAACAGAAATATTTGTCATATGAACCTTCGTGAACAACTATTTCGCAAAGATAAACGCCGAGTACTATTTGGACGAGTTACATCGCTGAGAGATGTGTGTAGATTGGAAAAAAAATGAGAAAATATCTTATATCTTATATGTTAGATCGGAAACTTCGAAGACCACCTTCATATACCTTAATAACTCCCTTCATCGGATGGACTATCAATTCCAGATCATTTCTGCCTAAATCCACCACAAACGATGATCCTTTATGTCCACAATTACTCAACTGAACTCCCATCTGTTCTGAAGCTGTTCCGACGTCTATTTCTCCAAAATTCAGGATTTTGGGTCTCATGGATATGTAGGCTGAACTGATGTATCTGTGGAAGAATAGTTTGTCAATTTCAGTATGAAGAACAGAATACAATCTATCAAACATTTCGTTTTATGAAAGAAAANGCCAAATGAATGATTTTTTTGTTCTACTGACATCAGAATGTATGGTTTTATAGTTATTGTTAGAACTTTTTGATAAGTGAATTAATATAATTTGGTTTTGGTAGATACTTTTATTGAATTTATATTTCATTATAAGGTGTCACGTTAGTTGCTTCAACAAAAACCATTCGTTTTACGAAGGAAAGATTGAATGTGGCATATATATGGTACAGTTCGTCGTTAAATCCACCATGCCAAAGTTTTTCATGACATCACATTTCGGTAGTAAAAATTTTTCTAAAAATAACCGGATGACTACCAATTCATTCTATATACCACAATACAATGTTTGTGAGGTTAGGAATGTGATATTTGAAGTAAAGCTGCAGTTAATTGAGGCCTGAAGTTCCAATAAATGAATATTTGAGAATATACTTATCGCATTTTAACCCAGAGTCAAAATTTTCAAATCAAATATTGAATATTTTTTAATCCATACCATGGAACGTAAAATTCCTTCTAACGACTATAAAACTTTGTATTTATCTTCGAATAAATTGATGAATGACAAACAGAACAGTAAGTTTCCTTGGTTTTTGATGAAAACTTCAATAATTCTTCTTCAAGGATATCTTTTTCAATACTAATAACAATAATACGAGTGATATGAGCTCATTCATGACATTTTATAATGTATACATAGGAAATAATGAACAAACTTCTGAATAATTTCTTATTTCGATAAAATATGTTGTCTTCCAAACGCCAACCATTAAAATTCATCTCTGTTTCTATTGAAAAGAATTGATGACTGAAAATCTGTATCAAGATTTTCAAAAACATATAAAAAAGGTATTTCTGAAGAATGAATAGTTGAGAAGAAAATTGTTTATTCCACCAACTAGTTTCAAAAAATAATTGATTTGGGTTTACTTTCAATTGAACTGGAATTGATATAACATTATTATTCCTTTGTTCAGGATATCGGTCTTGATAATAATTCATACATTATATCGTTATTACCTGGAACATGTTTGAAATACAGTTTTGTATAATACAAAATACTTTTCTTTGTTTTTCTTGCCTCGATTAACAAAAATATATGGTATTCCGTACCAAGAGCGGTACATATCAAAAATACGCGACGGGTTGTGGCTGCACATCGTTTTGAGGTTCAAATCAAACCTCGAACTTTACTGTTTAGAAACTCTTTCATTTGGAGAACTACGTTTATTCTTCCTGTTCACACATCCTGCATAAAGGTGTGTCCACTAACACCATATTATGGAGGCATTTCCTTAATTGACAGTGGCCAGTCAGAAATCCTACTGTTCAGAGTAGATTTTTCCTGGTCATCGCCAGATATTTCTTTGGTGCCAGCTTCCCAGGGTCGCCCAGGGGGATCCTGACGAGATTGCATCTTTTGAGATCATCCCATCCCTTTAGGGATTGAGCATGGGTGTGACATTTGGCTAGTTCCGCAATTGTCGACGTCATAAAGCCGTAGGTGTCACTGGGTCCTAAAATTCTTAGTGCAGCCGCTTCCCTGGCTGAAGAGTCGGCAATGCGATTACCTTCACTCCTATCGTGCCCCTTAACCCACCTCTGGATAATGTTATCAACTTCCGAGGCTTGGTGGCACTCTAGTACTAGCCCTGAGGTAACACGATGTCTGTTCAAGGCTAATACGGCTTGTCTGGTTTTTGGTTATTTCTCTTGAGGCGATTGAGATACCAGCCAGTTCCATTTGAATCATGCTGGTATTTCTTTCCATTCCACACTTAATCTTTAGGTTGCCTCTAGCAGAGGCAACCAGTGATGCAGTCGCTGTATTTGATATAATTGCTTGTAAAACTTTTAGTCCCCATACGATGGCCTCGTACGTTAACATAGGTCTTATTATTGCAGTCTAGATCCAGATGACCACCCGGGGTGAAAGACCCCATGCGCGTCCCACTGTCCCCCGACATTGCTCATAAGCCACATATGCTCTTTTTGCTCCACTCTGTAGGTGAGAGTTCCATGTTATCTTCCTGTCGAGAATAGCACCAAGGTATTTCACCTCCTCAGAGAAGTTTAATTTGCTTTTGAAGAATTCGGGAGGTTTCAAGCTCGATAAACTTTTTTTTCTGGTGAAAAGAACCATCTCAGTTTTATTGGGATTGATCGACAGTGAGTGTTCCTCACACCATTTCTTTATTAATTTGAGCCCATCCTGCGCTCTATCGCATAGTGTGTTCACAAATTAGCCGGTCTGCAAGATAACTATGTCATCTGCATGTGCAATTTTGTGAAATCCATTATTGTTGAGGTGATCAATCAGGGTATCCAGAACTATGTTCCAGAGACAGGATGATGAGACCCCTTCCTGTGGACATACCCTCATGACCAGTCCTCTCACTGTGATGTCTTCTAGATTGGTACTTATTGCTCTACTGGATAGCATCTTGAGAATACATTCTCTCACTATCAGGGGTACATTTCTGGAGTGTAGTTACTGGGTAATTATTGGAAAGGTTGTTTTATCAAACGCTTCCTCGATATCTATGAATATACCCAGGGTGAATTCTTTGTTGTCCAATGATCTCTCGATTCTGCCAACCACGTGGTGAAGGGCCGAATCAATAGACCTTCCCGGAGTATATGCATGCTGATTTGGATGAAGTGGGTTATAAACTAGTACTTCATCTCTTATGTACCGCTCACATAGCCTCTCCATAGTTTTNCCCTCATCTTTTTTTGTATCAAGATGGAGTAGTAGAGGCAAAAACTTTCTTTTCCAAAAATTAATCACTCCTAAAAATATAACCCCTTCAATTATAATAATCACCTTCGAACTTGGCGAAAACACTCTAACGATTGCTGGATACTTTCCAACGTTGATGATTGTGAACGACTGGCTGAACCTTTTCCCGTCATAAGCATCTTTGAAAATCATTTTTGGTGGAACAACCCTAACATTATTAAGTTCCAAATAACCGCCACTAGGTTCTTCGTCAACATTCACATTTTCGGTTCTAGAATTGGGAAAAGATTCACTTCTTGGTGTTAGTGAAATATCGGATGTAACTTCCATTCTGAATTGATTTTCAATTTCAAACGAATTTTGTCATGTGACCTTTTGACGTTCGATATCGTCTGTGACATGCACTATGTCAATGTTGTCAAACATGTCGAATCTAAAGGAATATTATAGGGTGATTGAAATTTAAAACGTTCATGTTGTGTCTAACAATTTTCATTTGAGATGGAATTGGCCGACATTTAATGAAAATCTATGACATTCACAGAACCACATCACGGGTTTTGCTATACAATAATTTGATAGTTGTTACTCGAACCACTGGCGTAAAAGGAACCTATGTTCCTCGGTATAAAAACACTGCTGGTACACGCAGGACATTATATACTCTTTGTAATTGAAATCGTATTATATATCACGCTATAAAAACTAGCAACAGCAGATTTTTCCAAGATTTCTGTGAAGTTACATCATTCCCACTGTCCCCCGACATTGCTCATAAGCCACATATGCTCTTTTTGCTCCACTCTGTAGGTGAGAGTTCCATGTTATCTTCCTGTCGAGAATAGTACCAAGGTATTTCACCTCTTCAGAGAAGTTTAGTTTGCTTTTGAAGAATTCGGGAGGTTCAAGCTCGATAAACTTTTTTTTCTGGTGAAAAGGATCATCTCAGTTTTCTTGGGATTGATCGACAGTGAGTGTTCCTCTTTATTAATTTGAGCCCATCCTGCGCTCTATCGCATAGTGTGTTCACAAAGTTGCCGGTCTGCAAGATAACTATGTCATCTGCATGTGCAATTTTGTGAAAGCCATTATTGTTGAGGTGATTAATCAGGGTATCCAGAACTATGTTCCAGAGAAAGGATGATGAGGCCCCTTCCTGTGGACATCCCCTCATGACCAGTACTTCCACTGTGATGTCTTCTACATTGATACAAATTGCTCCACTAGAGAGCATCTTGAGTATCCATTCTCCCCACTAACAGGGGTACATTTCTAGAGTGTAGTTACTGGGTAATTATTGGAAAGGTTGTTTTATCAAACGCTTCCTCGATATCTATGAATATACTCAGGGTGAATTCTTTGTTGTCCAATGATCTCTCGATTCTGCCAACCACGTGGTGAAGGGCCGAATCAATAGACCTTTCCAGAGTATATGCATGCTGATTTGGATGAAGTGGGTTATAAACTAGTACTTCATCTCTTATGTACCGCTCACATAGCCTCTCCATAGTTTTCAAGGAGAACGATGTGAGACTAATTGGTCGGAATGCTTTTGGTAAGGTGTAGTCCATCCCACCTGGTTTGGGTATAAATACTACTCGTACTCCTCTCCACTCTCCTCACTGGGAATATACCTCAGAGCTAGAGAGGCTCTGATAATTCCAACCGGGTTGCGGCAATGACCACTTATTCAATTGAATAATAAGAACCATTTGAATAAGTGCACCCAAAGCCAACGTAACACAAGTTAATTGATCTCGTCGGCATAAAAATTGCGTTCTTGGGATTCGATGAAGTCTACGAAGGGGCCGTTTTTTGCCTGGTCCTGAAAAGTGCATAATTAACATCTGCTATTGTTCGGTTACTTTTGACTGTGGAATACTGTAGTTTCACAAGGAAAATAAATGAAATATACTTAACACTTCTATCTCATATAAGAGTAAGTCGTCGTTAACGTAGATTGACAAGCACGCTTGAGGCACAGCCATGGCACTTATGTACGTCAAGAAGATCGTTCGGGTTATACTCATTCCTGAAGCAAGATATCGTCCTCTGGGAAGTGGTTTCATTCGAAATGCCTGTAAAAGATTCAAATATGCACATACAGTGTGTCCCAGATAAAACTTGTCACCCTCCTTATCTGCAAATTCGTGAAAAAAAAATGAAAATCGTTGAAACCCGTCGATTTTGATTTCAAGGGAAAACACTCACCAAATACATCATCATTGTGTAATCAACCCCCAGCACCCCTTAGTTCAGAATTTTCAAAAGGATTACTATACTTGTGATACATCATTTTGAAGGGAATTCAATTCCAAATACATCGGTGTACTGAAATTGAGGATTGATCAAGCGTTTTTTAGGTTTTAATGAAAACTAAGTTTCATCAAGATATTTTATTTTTCATCACCTAAAATGTTATTATCGTCAGGAATATATTGCCTTAGGGCAAGTGTCTTACGGCNGTTGTTATTAGATTGACTGGTGCCTCAGCTATACTTGTTTCCTTATAACAGTCAGTTAGTTTGGCGCATGTTTGGCAATACAGTCAGAGATTGAGTCTTGTTTGAAGATCATCAGTGATATTAAATTGACTGGTGCCTCAGCTATACTTGTTTCCTTATAACAGTCAGTTAGTTTGGCGCATGTTTGGCAATACAGTCGATCATCACCTGTTAAAAGTTCCATTTTCAGATGATTTAACAATAAGCTTTGCACGAACTGATTATTAGTCATATCAGGAAACGCTAGATGAAGTTCCAGAAATTCACATACGTTTTTGCTACCTCTCGAACATTTGCTACAAAGTAAACAAGTGAGGATTTTTCCAGCAAAAGATTTTCAAACACAAGACAAGATAGACTGTACGGAATCATTCAATACAGAGCGACAAGGAGTATTAATTCTGCTATTGTTTTGTCCACGAAGAGTATTCAACAAGAACCCCAAGAATTCAGAACAATCCTCTTGTTGTCCTAAGGAGTATGTAATTAATATGTCGTCTTTTTTCGATCATATGTGTGAATTTATTTTTTAATTTGTCAAATCCTCAATATGTCAATCTTTTGTTATATATTCAGCTCAAGTAGCCTCTACTTATACTGCATTATTATATTAAATATTGTCCTGTAAATGGATTGATCTGTTGGGCAATAAATTTTGTTTCTCTTTTTTTTCTACAGATAACACTTTCCCAACACCAGAAGAAAGACTACGGTATCTCGACGCGTGTTTCGCTAATCAAGACAGCGTCCTCAGGAGATCATTACGACTGAATTTTACTACTATGTTAGTGTTTTTATATGCTAGTGGCCTAACTTCTACTGAACTACTGAACTAACTGAAAGTGAATGACCATAGACAACTTTCTCCGAACGTGAACAAACAAAACTATCGAATTTGGGACGCTACCAATACGCATGAGATCCAAGGGCGAAAAAGTCACTGTTTGATGTGGATTTTGGGCTGGCGGCGTCATCGGTCCATATTTCTCTGAAAACGACGCTGACAAGGCCATCACTGTCAACGACGAGCACTATAGGTCGATAATTACCAACTTCTTTTGGCCTGACACTAACGACGTGTGGTTTCAACAGGACGGCCCTAGGTGCCACACAGCTTATGCCACATTGGATATCCTACATGAGCGATTTGAGGGCCTGGTCATCTGACGTAGAGGTGATGTGAACTGACAACCAAGATCGTGCGCTTTGACCCCGTTACTTTTTTGTTGTGAATTTTCTCTGAGTCGCAGTGGTATGCGAATAAGCCACAAATCACAGCGGTCCTCAAAGCCAACTCAAAACATGCTTTTGGTCAAATTCAGCCTGATTCATGCGCCAGACTCATGGAAAATTGGACGCTTCTGATTAGCTCCACCCAGAAAATCCGTGGGGGACATTTGAACAATGTTCACACATTAATGGTATCAATAGGTCTTCTTCGATAGAGGAAACTAGTGACTGCTCTAATTCCCACCCTTCTTTCATAACATGTTCAACATATTTTTGCAGCATTTTCCAGAGTCAACATTTTCAAGGGCTCCTTGAAGAGTATTTTGACATCTGCTATTTTGAATGTCGTATTTTTTCTGGCAACGAAAGCCTTCACTCAGGTCAAAACCAGTTCATTGTTATCAAGTTCTTAATAATAAGGGAGCAGACGCAGAATAAAATTTCGTTTCTGTGCCTTCCTGTCGACTACGTTATCTATGGAATGAGCTTCATTTGAACATACAATGGACATTGATTCTTCTCTAACCATACTTTCATCAAATGTTTTTTTCTGTCGAAGTCACTCAACGATATCCTGTTATCTCCATGCATTGTTTGATACTCTTCCAACTTTTTTCATCCATCAAGTTGCATTACCATCACAATCACAGAGTTAGGTAGAATAGATCTAACATTTTCTCCTCAGCAAATAATTTTTTCACTTTTTATCATTTGAAATAAATAATACTTTTCTCACTTTTCAACCCACTTGATTATGTAGCTACGAAACATTCATTTGAAAATGTTTCATCGCTGTGCTGCTTGAGGAAATATACTTTACTGCAACACCTCAAAACCGTTGCGTCGTTTTTGAGCTTATCACGTCAAAATGCATACAGGCAAAAGGATCAACAGATAAAAAATAAGCAAAAAAACGAACAAAAGCGATAAAATTCTTTGTTTTCAGTACTATTGCGTTGATAGTTTTACGTTAATTTTATCATTTGTATATCATCATTTCCATCACAATGGAGGAGGAAGTTAACAACAGATTGCCTTTCTTAGACATATTGGTGAAGAGGACCAACACCAAACGAGAAACATCTGTATATCGAAAACCCACTCACACAGGACAGTATCTGAACCAGAAATCCAACCACCATCAATCGACTAAGAGAGGAATCATCAAGAATCTACTGGACCGTGTTTTCGCGCTCTGTAATACAAAGGAAGGTCTCGAAAAGGAACTAGGCATCATCAAAAATCACCTTCTACGGAATGGTAACTCCAGAATAATGGTAGGATAGGCTTTAGCTAGAAGACATCAAGAGCTCCACAAGGAAGAGAAGCCGCCACATCCAGTACGTGTACTTCCCTACATCAGGGTATTATCGGAAAAGATAAGAAGGATTGGGTCCAAGTATAACATCAGGACCTGCTTCAAATCTGGGAACACCATCCGATGCAGCCTCACGAAAACCAGGCCACCAAACGCAGACTGCGATTCCAAGAATTGCATTTACGGGTTACCCTGCGAGTGCGGTGAATCATACATCGGTAAAACTGAGAGGTGAAATCGAAAGTTCGCATTGCTGAGCATAAGAAACACACACGGCGAGGAGAAACCAGCAAATCCGAAATAGCAGAGCATGTTTGGACAACATAACATCAAGCTCAAGCTGAAATCATCCACAAGGAGGAACACTAGTTCAGGAGAAAATTCAAAGAAGCCGCGTATTTGTTGTCCAACAACATTTTTACCCATCTAGCGTAGAGATACGTACCATATGTAAACCTTTAGTCAAGAGAAAAACGACTAACTCCCGCCAAACGTTCATCTCCCGCTAAAACCAACGAAGCGGAGAGAGGAAAGACGGGATAGGTGAAAGCACTCGAATGACCTATAAATAGTCAGATCTCGGAGGAATGTTATCACCCGAAAACGATTATGAATACTAACAAACGAAACGTTGTGACGTAACTTGGTTTGCAATCTTCTAATTTTTCATTTTTGTTTATAATATTTTTCAATTTTTTTAATTTTCAGCTTGCATTAATATTTCTATTTTTTATTTTTTTCCTTTGTTGCTTGTATGTTATTTCTTTGTAATTTCAGTTTCTTGTTTTAATAAAATTGTTATTTTTTCGGTTAATCTTTTTAAAATTTTTACAGATTCTTTCAGGGGTTCCATATCAATTTATATTATAGTAGACAATGGAAGTCCGAACTCATGAAATACACCACGAAACATTGTCAACCACCTCCAAACAAACGTTTATTATTTGTATTGATATTGAAATATTCATTTGTCGTGATTTTGTTCGATTTTCTCCGACAGTGAGAATATCGATATCTAAGTCGAGAAGAAAATTAACGTAACAGTGGTATCTAGCGTGAAGAAAGCGTGTAAAACGGCACTTTGGCGTTGCTGGAGTCCTGAGGGATGAGAGCAACTCTCGGCGCTGTAATATAATTAGTCGCGATTTCTGACAGTCTGCAGGCTGTTCCAGTCCATCCCGTTCGACCACTTTTGCTTCCTACTCTCCAGGGTGCAATGCAACTTGCGACAAAAACGGTGGTTTGGATCTAGTGAATATCATGCTGAACTCCCTCGAGATGGAATCGATGTTGGCGGTCCATAGCCCTGGGAAGAATTTGTTTCCTGAAAAGGTTGATGAATTATCATTCTGGAAAATGAGAAATGAAACTTCCTATTTTTTTATGTCACTTGTATTTGTAACTGACGTTACTGCCGTTTTGTCCTGCAAGGACACTTTCAAGCGAATACAATAAATTGTAATTATCAACAATATGAACCCTTTTCAGGAGAGATCAATTTGGTAAAAAAGTTTTGCCCATCTACTTCTACCAGTAAGGATGGCAGTGTTCCATGTGAGTGAAATTTCACTTCTTCCATTATGTATATTGTGTAGAAATCCTTTGAATGATATCTGATTCGATTCCATTATGAATATTTGGAATTTTTTTGACAAAACACAAGTATCTCAGGTAAATCCTTAAAACACTCTCAGAGCGGTGCCTGTGCGAAAATAGTGATTCACATTGAATCTGAATCGCTGGAGATCAAATCTATTTGAAAATACGTTCTCGGGAAGTTTATTCAACATAAACGCAGTTCTCCAGATGAAATATTTTTAAACAGTCAAGTTCAGGGTGTACTTGTAACCTCACAACTTGAAATTACAATTGATGGGCTGTCACGATGACAGTCAAGGCATACCGATTCATTGCAGAGGAGATGGGAGTGAGTTTACAAATGTTATATATTTTTTTTTGTTTCATTTGGGCGCCAGGTAAATTGAAATGCCAAAAGATCCCACTAATATCTATACCAATTCC